CAATAAGATACTGGTATACTGAATACAGCAAATCATCAAAAAATTATACACCACGAGCAAGCAGGATTCATCCTAGGGACAGTTCAACATATGAAAATCAATAAATGTAATACACCACATTAACAAAACCAAGGACAAAAACCACTATTATCTCAATAAATGCAGAAAAAGCATTTGACAAAGTCCAAAAGCCATTCATGACAAATTGGAAAAGGCCATTATCTCAATCTGCTAAAAAACCATCTATGAAAAACCAATAGGCAATATCATACTAAATGGTCAAAAATGAAAGCTTTCACTCTAAGTCAGGGACAACACAAGGATGCTCACTAGCATGACTCTTGTACAATATACTTCAGGAAACATTAGCCACAGCAATTACACAAGAGAAAGAAATAAAGGGAATATGCTAGAAAAGGAATGTTATTTTATTATTTACTGATGACATGATAACTCTACATAGAAGACCCCAAAAACTCCACCAACAGACTCTTAGTAGCAGAGCAGGATACAAAGCACTCAAAAATCCCATGCTTTTACACGAATAACAAACTGAGAGATAAATTAGGGAAAAAACACTTTTCATAAGAGCACCAAGAAAAATGAAATACTTAGAAATCAATATAACAAAGGCAGTGAAAGACGTATACATTGAAAACTACATAGTATTCTGAAAAAGGAAATTGAAGGGGCTATCAGAAAATGGAAAGATATCCCATTTGTGGACAGGCAAAACTAGTAGTAGTGAAAATAGCCATACTTCCAAAGCTGTTATATAGATTTAATGCAATCCCGATCAAAATAGCAATAGCATACCTCACAGAACTAGAAAAAACAATCCTAAAATTCACAGGGAACCAAAAGAGATCTAGAATAACATAAGCAATTCTGGACAACAAAGGCAAGGTAGGGGGCATGACAATCCTTGATTTGAATTTATACTACAAAGATACTGTGATAAAAATACTGTGGCACTAGCAAAAAACAAACCCCACCAAAAAATACAGAGCCAAGTATTAATGGAACAGAATAGAAAATGCAGAAACAACTCAAAGCACACTCACTGCAAGACAGCCTCTTTAATAAATGGTGCTGGGAAAACTGGCTTTCTGTATGCTGAAAATTGAACCTAGACCCATATCTCTTACCATACACTAAACTAAAATCAAAATGGATCAAAGATCTAAATACTGAAACAGAAACACTTAAATCTCCTGCACGACAGAACAAGTAAAACTCTTGAAGACAAAGGTATATGTAAAGACTTTAAGAACAAAACTCCAACCATAGGAAACATGAAAAATCAACAAAGGGGATCAGGTCAAATTGCAAAGCTTTTGCGGAGCAATAAAACAAAACAAAACAAAACACTAAGAGAGTGAAGAGACAATCCATTGAATGGGAAATACTTTTTTTACCAGCTAGTCCTCAGACAAGGGACTAACATCTAAATTATAAAAGTACTCAAAAAAAAAAAAAAATCAGACAACTCCCAAATTAAAAAACCCATTCCAAAAATGGGCATCTGAAATGGAAACATATCTCAAATGAAGAAGTATAAATAACAAATAATTATATGAAAAAATGCTTCATGCCAGGAGGTCATTTGAGAAATGCAAATTAAAACAACCATGACATACCAACACATTCCAGAAACAATGGTTCTCATCAAGAAGTTACAACTATAAAACTCACCAGTAACAAATGCTGGTGAGGCTATGGGGGAAAAAAGAACCGTCTCCATTGCTGCTGGGAGTGTAAACTGGTATAACCACCATAATCAGTATGGAGATTCCTCAAAAACTAAAACCGGAGGTTCCATTTGACACAGCTATTCCCTTTCTTAATATTTTCCCCAAAGAGTTAAAAGTAGCCTACTACAGCAATATATGTATACCCATGTTTATAGCAGCATAATTTGTAACAGCTAAATCATGGAAATGGCCCATATGCCCATCAAGAGGTGAATGGGTAAGGAAAATGTGATATTTATACACAACAGAGTATTACCTTACCATAAAGAAGGATAAATTTGAGTCATTTGTAGCAAAATGGATGTACCTTGAGACCATAATCCTAAGTGAAATAAATAAGCACACAAGTTTCTTTTGTGTAAGAAATCCAAAGGACAAGTCATAAGTATAGTGGAATACAGATATTGGGAAGTATAGACAGCATGCTCAAATGAGAAGGGAAACAAGGGAGGAGGGGAGCAGAGAGGAAAAAGGACAAAAAAAGAATAGAAGGAAAACAATGGAAACAAAGCTTTTGTAAATTGGGAGGGGAAGAAGGATTGAAGGGTGGGAAGTAGAATAGAAAAAAACAGAAGAAATAGGATATAGAGTTACAAATTCCCTATGATAAATGTGATTAATATGTATGACAAATATGTACTAATAAATTTTTTTAAAAACAAGATTTTAAAAAATCAATTTTCCCCCTTTATACAATTAGAAAATTATTTTTGTTTTCAGAGAATAATGGTTTTAAAAAATGTACTTTTAAAAAATCTTCACTTTTCATGTAAAAACAATGACAAGTGTTTACCTTTAGCCTTACCAAATGTTAAATAGGATTACCTCTGAAAACCTTACTAAAGCACTTACCTATTCAATTAAATAAAAGTAAATAATATATGTTTCCTTATCTAAATCTTAGTGTTTGTTTCTGGAAGATCATTTCTGGATAGCAGAAGATTAAAACTTTTGCTTAGGTGGGGCATGGTGGCTTACACCTGTAACTCCCAGCACTCGGGAGGCTGAGGCAGGAGAATTGCTATGAGTTCGAGACCATCCTGGACTATATAGTGAGTTCCAGGTCATTTGCAACTACATAGTGAGACCCTGACTCAAAAAAACAAAAAACCCCCCAAAACCACTTTTGCTTAATTAAAACTACAGTGGAGTATCTACCAATTCTATTTGAAGATCACTATATATTTGGAAGTTTTTAAAAAACAAACAAACAAATAAAACCAAACTAGCACACATAGTAAATGGCTTTTTCACTGCTGGAGATCAAGAACATGGGAATTGTCAAGTCTTAATTCACCTCAACGGGGGGTAAAACAGATGTAATCTGACAGCTCTATTCCAAACATGTTATTTATTCTTTATGATCACCTACTGCAACCCCAAAGCTGTTTTCATAAATCCCAGCAAGTAGCCCTGTCCTATTATGAACCACATTTGATACAATCAAGATAGAGTAAAACGGAAAGAATATTAGAGAGAAGCACAGGACTACTTCCTCCTAAATATTATATAATGAAACCTCCTGGTACAAGAATACTACTTGACCTTTTATGCAAGACACAGATTGATAAAGTTTCTGGGATTAGCTACAGTATCCCTACTTTATCCTTTTTCCCACAGATTTTCCTGTTTTTTTACACACATATACCAGGCCAAACAGGGATGTCTGATCACTTGACTTCTAAGAATTATATATTTATCTTCAAAGCAGCTGCAACTGTTATCATTAAGACACTAATTTGTTGTAAAACAATACTATACAGTGTCAAAGTTTTAGCATATTATAAATGAAACATTCCAATTAAGAAATCTTTTTTAGGGCTGGGGATTTAGCTCAGTGGTGCCGCCACCTGCCTCATAAGTGCAAGGTCCCAAATTCAATCCTTGGTACCGAAGAAATCTTTTTTATGAGGATACATGATTGTTGTTTTCTCCACTCAAAATCAAAATTAGAGCTGGAGATCTGGTTCATTGGAAAAGTATGAAGAGCATGTGCTTAATGAGTACAAGGCCCTCAATTCAATCCCCAGCACAGACACACACAGGCATACACGCATACACATACACATACTCCGTAGGGAAAAAATGTACTTCGAGAAACTGAAGAATGTTTAAAGAGCACTTTCAATCTCTTAGTCAAAAGGAAATTTCTCTATGGAATAGATGATGGCAAATTCTCCTACTTTTTCTGACGAGCATGGGAATGTGTATTTATCCCTATAACCTTTAGAGTCAATTAAAAATACTATGTAACTTAAAAACTTAGCTAAACAAAGGCGTAAATTAATATACTATTGGAGTTAAAAGAAGTTTAAAATTATTAATGTGACAGAAACAGAAGTCCAGAAGGAAATTAAAATGACACACATAGTTACAACTTGATATGGAAACAAAGCTTTTGGTGGCTCAGCTATAGTAACTGTCAACAGAAAATGACACTCCAGATTTTACTGAAAGTATTTTTAATTGGTAATGAGCTATGCCAAGGCATTAAGACTGAATTAATAATTCATGCAAATGGCAACGACCACTGTAATATACTTTTCATTAGTTTACAACCATTTTTTAATGATTCCCTACATTATATTCTTTACAATTTTCCATAAAGTTTTACATAAATGATATATTATAAAAACTTCACAGAGCTCTAATATAAAATGTTTAAAAATGTGATGAACAGCAAATTTTAAATTTAAAAAAAGGAGGTCAAGTCTGACCTCTGGGCCATGAAGCACTACATTAACAGCTCTGCAGAAAGAAAAATGATAAGGTATGAAATGAGTGCTTGGAAAATAGGACCTTATCAGTTAGAATATGATTCAAGCCTGTAAGATAAATTGCTCAGCAAGGCAAGTCACCTTCCTGCTGTGATAAGGATATAGCTGAATTTCCAATGCCACTGACTATCTACTTCATCGTGTCTCCTAGTTTGATATCATACAGTCAAGGAATGGCTGATAGTTCTGAAGCATCTACCACTTATTTTGAATACATTTTGTCAAAGTCACCTACTAGGATAACTACCTTTGTCCGTTAACTGACAACTTCAGTGTTAAAAACAAAAATCTTTAAAGGGCAATCACTAACTAATAAGAATTTCGAAGAGTTGACCCTTCAAAAGAATGATTCTATCTCAGGTTTAAAGTGTTACTTAAATCACTTTAACAGCTTGCTTGGTTTTTATACATAGTATTTATAACATAAAAATGTGCAAATTCTACAAATTGTCTCACTTTAATCGCATACCTGAACACTAATGGAACGTTTCAGAAGTTCTTCCAGAAAGTTCCAATTTGATTCCATCTGTCTCTAGAAAGGGAAAAAAAACACATATTGCTCTTGATTACATATATATTTACAATTATGGTACAGCAAACTCAGTGAGGTAATTTTATCATTAGAATGCACTGTAACTTCATGAATTTATAATATTTTGGGGCAAAGAATTAGTTGACAGACTTGAAAGAAAAATTTCTACAACTATTCCAGTCTAATATAAAACTTATCAGCTGTTTTATTAAAAGTGATGCTTCTATAGGATTATAAGGGCTTTAATGAATTTTTAATTTTGCTGTCAGACATAGCCTAAAAAAATTGTATTTTGGGCCAGGGATTTAGCTCAGTGGCACTGTGCCTATCTTGCAAGTGCAAGGTCATGAGTTGGATTCCCAGTACAAAAAAAAAAATTTATGTATGTATTTTCTTGGAGTTCTTTATGCCAGGCAGTCTTCTGTATCCTCCATTTTACTCACTAGAGATTCTTTTGTTCACAACAAAGTCTATTTCATTAAACAATATAGTTAAAACTTTTGTCCAGAAAATAAAATTAAACTTTACATAGTGCTACCGATGGTTTACTGATAACTTCAATTATATGAAATATTCTCTATGATAAAGAAGAAAGCTAAAAAGTACTTCCATGTAGGCTATGTACTGAAAACAATTCCACTTTTCCAACAGGACAGCCTGGAAGATGTTTTCATAACATTTAGTTGTTAAATGCTTAGACATGTGGGAACTGGTCAAAACGAGACACAAGAATCTCAAAGGGGAAGGAAAATTTCTAATGGAGGAAAAAAAATGTGAAAAACATATAACACTTTAAAAAGCAAAGTCAGAGCCTTAAAGAATAAAGGAATAGACTCTCACTATACTCTGTAAGAATATGACATTCTTAAGAATAAATTCAAAGGATCACTGCACTAAACTGCTGAACACATACTACCTTAAGATGCAAAGCAAGCCAGCCTCTAAGATACTCCCCAAAGACCTCAGCCCCACATTCTCACTTTATGTAACATCCTCCCACACTGTACTAGGATTGATCTTGTCACTAACAGATATCAAATATTAGTATGAATAACAGGATGCTACTACAAAGAGTAGGTTACAAAGTGCTGAAGCTTGACAATACTCCCTTGATGACTTGATCTGGGGAAAAACATACTGTTTAGAAGTGCTAAAGAGGGTTACATGATAGGTAACTGAACCATTCTGCCAAAATATGACATTGGAAACTAATCTTCCAGACTCAGTTAAGTCTTAAGACTATATAACCATATGAAAGATCCCAAGCCATAACCACCTACTTAAATTGCCCTAAATGTCTGATTTAGAAAACAGTGTAAGATAATAAACGTTTGTTTAAATCTGCTACAGTTTGTCATAAAGCAACAGATTACTAATGTAATGACAGCTACTTTTAGCAAAAGTATTACTGACTTTTTGAAATATATTTCTTTATACAAGTGCAAAGAACATTTTTCTAGAGAGAATGTGGAGTAAAAAATACGGCCCTTTTCCAAGAGTAGGTTTGGCCTTTGCCCTTAGCTTCTGGGAGGTATCTGAGCCTTCAGAATGTTAAGCCCAATGTAGGGGTGTCTTGGTTTTGGGCCGTGATCATTCTATAATATAAACAAATTGTTCATTAAAGGAAAGAATGGTTAACTATATCATGCCTAAACAAATGTAAGAGTAGGTGTCTAAGAGAGATAAAGATTTGTTTCCCATAAGAAAATTTAAATTTGAGCAACTTCAGCCTATTTTCCTACATTCCAAGTCACATCATTATAAACCCATTTCTAAATGACAAGTTAATATCAGGTAGGAAATTATCAATTTGGGACTATGTTTTACATTTTTTATCCTGCATTAAAACTAAAAGACTCACTGAAAGTACTATATAGTACTTTTACCATATCCACCAGAATTACGAAATAGATTCTCTTATTCTGTACTCCAGCAGAGTAGAGAACCCATTGCAACTATCATTTTAAGGCTGTATTTCACATCTTTTATCTGGGTGGCATTTCAGATGTTTCAAACACAAGCATCCACTAGCCTCACCAATTGCCCTATATTCTTGGCAGAGAAAGCACTGATAAAACTAACCTCTGCTGTGGGGCATAATGGTGCATGCTTGTGACCTTTGCCACTCAACAGGCTGAAGTAGGAGGAACCCAAAAGTTCAAGGTTAGCCTGGAAAACTTAGCTTGACTGCCTCAAAGCAAAAGTAAAACAAAAAAGGGATGGGGCTATAATTCAGTGGTAGAATGTCTGCTTGATTAGCATGCAGAAGGCCCTGGGTTGGGGGGAGTCGGGCGGGAAAGGAGGAAGAGGGGGAGGGGGGAAATGGAATCCCTGCAATGTTCAAAAGAAATTTTCCCTTTTATTTTTATTTTATTTTATTTTATTTTATTTTATTTTTTTGGCACCTGGGATTGAACTTGGGTCCTTGCGCTTGAAGACAGGCCACTGAACCACTGAGCTAAATCCCCAGCCCTTTTCTTTCTTTCTCTTTCTTTTTTTTTTTTTTTGAAATTTTTGGTTTTAAATTAAATGACTGGGATTGTGCAAGGATAACAAACTCTCATCTAGGCTGAGAGAAAAACATTAAATAATATGTAAAAAGGTAGGTTCAAATGAGATATCAAATTTTCCTTACAGACTTATAAAACTCCAAATTAGATAAACTTTTAAAATTAAAAAAAAATACCTAAAATCTATTTAAATAAAAGGTTTCATATTAATCTTCAGAGCAAATAATTCACATTTAAAAACTGAAACATTCCCATTCTATCATAAGATTAGAAATATTTCTCTGGTGAAGAACATATGACCATTATTCATATCTCTCATATGAGTAGTACAATGTATGCTTATCGCATAACCATTTTCTCTGCTATATTTGACTATGCTAATCATCATAAGGATTCAAAACAGAATCTAAGCAACATTTAGGCCCAAAATCTGACCAAAGTACATCTCAGATCCAAATTAACATTCCTTATAATTTCTCTGAAAGAATGAATCAATACACTTTTGTTAATAGACCATCTGATTTATCAACTAAACACAAACACTTTTAGGTAGAAAAGTAAAAATTAATCACTTAAGATGAGTGGGTAGCAAGCACAGAAGGACACTGACTGTGGCAAAATGGAGCACACAATTACCCTACCAAAGACTATTTGTAAGAAGTAATCCTTAAATCATATCAAGCTTAACTAAATGATAAAATGTATTTCGTATCTAATGAAAACGCTTATTAACAGAAAGGCCAGAGTTCTTCTCTAACAGGCCCCAAAACATCTGAAATTCTTTGAAGACTCAGATATAAAAGGAAAGCTTATTTTACATGTAGAAGTACAATTATGTACTATTTACCCTTATTTTTCTCATAGGAAAGATTCTTTTCTCCAATGTGACTCTTCTTAAAACCTTCCACATAATTTAAAGAAGAGATTTTTTAAAAAAATATGAGTTAAAGAAAATCATATAGGAACTGGTGACAAATACTAAAAAACACAAATTAAGCTATTTTAAACACAATTATGTGCTGTCTTAATTCAGTACCAATAAAAGCAAGAATCTTCTCTGGAGTGCTCATTATACAAATGAAGAGTCATTTCAGCAACACAGTCAGGTGGTGGTGGTGCCATTCAGTTGACCAACAGTAATAATAATAATGACAGATATTAATTTGGCTAGATTACTGACCATACGGAAGTATCTAGGAGAAACCACTACTGAAATATACTACTCACTCCAGTGCTAACTGCAATTTTAATATGCGCTAATAAGTAACTTAAAAGCATGTACCTCGAAGCAAGGGGCAGTATAATTTGTGTCATGTGTGTGCCTATTATTATAACAACATAATAGTAACTCAGAAGTGTTTACTATTATGTTTATATATACTTACTAAAATGATGAATACGTACTTGGAAGAATTAAGGTTGGAAGGAAAAATAAATGAAAAGCTATGTTAAGATCTCAGAATTAGAGGCAAATTTCTGAGTTCCTTTAATATTTTCAAATTCTAACTGTGAAATGTTACCATATTAACTCCATAAAAATATTTCATGAAAGGGCTATTATAGTAATAATGTCAATTGATAAAATTTGAGTATATATTGTTAGAATGGCACCCGTGAAAAGAAACAAAGGGCGTACAATTCTCTGTGAAATATTCATTCTATTCATCTAATAAACTGACAGAATGCTTACCACTGATACTGAGCTATGTGTGAGCTTCTCAGAGTACTTTCTTACTCATTGTTTTACTTATCTTTGGGTCTCCCAAAATGCTTTTTATTGTTGGGGAATCATTTAGAGGACTTCTTGAAGCCCTTCCATTTCCATAGCCCAGTCTGTCCAATATTACAGAGAAGAAAATATGTTAAGTCCATCAAAGAATGTTTCATTAAAAACACTCAAAGCCATAGTTCCCATATCTTATAAAGGATAAACATCAAACATCTTTAATTTAAAACTAAAGATTTCTAAATTCTAAACTAGATTACTGAGTCAAGATCTCCAGCATTGAATCTACAAGTTTGAATTTTTAAAAACCCAGGTAGGTCTGATGATTCAGCAGGTCTGTGAATCACTCCCATAAAAACAGACAAACTTTGAAAATATAGACAAATTGGCTTTAAGATTCCAGAGGTTTATTTTCTGGAACTGATAGCCTGAGAGAATTCTACTGATTTCTGAATGTGGATATGGAAGAAATTACATACAAATATGGCCTCAAATAAATGCATTTTCCAGATGGTTTTATTCATAGGGCTTCTTAACACTGCAAAACCATGGTTCTAACCAGAAACTAATACACTAGTTGAAAACTCTGTCCTCCTATTTAAAGCAAACTTCATGTATGTTTAATAGGTTAAAATACATTTAAGAAAAGCACTTCTAAAAATAATATTATTCTAAAGATATTTTTAAAATTATCCACAAGGATAAGTTACATGCATTCCCTGAAGGCCTTATAGATTTTAGAACTAGAGGGAAACTTGAGAACAATTCAGACCCATGATTTTTCGATGAGGGAAGAGGGCCAGAAAGGTTTAATTTACTGAAAGTCACACAACTAATTAAAAGCAAAGGCAGGAATAGACATCAAGTTTTCTATAAAATGCATTTCTGTATTCAAACAATAGAAACACAAACTTCATAATTTTTTAAGATGCTGTTAAGAAACATTATATATAAAGAACTTTATACTTAAACTTTTTGTTGCTTCTATTAACTTTAAATTTGTCTTTAAAAAAATGAATCTATGCTATAAGAAGGTTTAAAAAAAAAATAAGACCTTACCATTTTATCTGGTACCCCATGGCGATCAAACTGGTAAAATGATGCTACATGAGTAATAATCCACCAACTAAAACCTAATGGATCTCTGGACTTGATTACAGGCATAGACGATCTTCTTTCACTTGATGTTTCAAAGAGTGTTTTAAGTATTTTATTCAACCAGTTCCAAAATGACTATAAAAGTAGAAGTAACATATTTTAGCTAAATTAAGACAGTTTCAGACTGAAGGTTTTTCCTCCACTTTCTGAATGAAGTGTACATACAAAAGAGAACATAAAACATCAACAAAACTTTAAGAATAATTAAAAAAAAATCCAGGTTAGGAATTAAGAGCATAACTGGTACTTCAGATATATCCTATATCTCCCCAAAGTAACGTCACTTTCTTCCTTTCAGTGGTAACAAATATCTTCACTTTCATGACAAAGCATTTCTTTGCTTTTAAAGGTTTGCCAGTTATATAAACCTGTAAGTCTACATTACAAGTTGTTCAGATCCATCTACTTTGTTTTTGTGTTTTTCTTCATGTATGCACGAACTCTTCAGTTGTTTCTGTTCCTTAATAACTTGGTCTTTTTGCTCAGCAACATGTTATTTTATTCATATTCATATTAATTATCACCAGAGTTCACTGAAATATTTCAATATAACTACACAATAAACCATTTAACCAATTTACTACCTTTCCTAGGTATTTTTGGGGGGATATTGCATGTAAACATTAACATTATCAGTTAGAAAATCATTGGCGAGTTCTCTTAGTTTTTTAATGTCTATAAAATCTGATTGTATTATATTTTATTAGAATCAGATTAGTATTCTTTTTGTAATCATCTTGAGAGAGATTGGCCAATTTTAGCTATTATTTTCATGACCCAACTTTTAGCTGTTTTTTTCTTTTGTTGTTATTCTGTTTTGTTTTATTGAGAAAGGGGCTCACTTTATAGTGCAGGATGTCCTTGAATTCACTATGTAGCCCAGGTTGACTTTGAACTTGCAGCAATCCGCCTGCTTCAGCCTCCCAAGTGCTGGGATTTTAGGCATGTGCCAGCACACTGGGCTTAATTGTGTTTTTTGTTGTTGTTGTTTGTCTGTTTGATTTTGAGACAGGGTCTCACTATGTAGTACAGACTGCTCTGGAACTCACTGTATAGCCCAGGCTGGTCTCGAACTCACAATGATCATCCTACCTCAGCCTCCCAAGTGCTGGGATTACAGGCATGTGCCACCACGCCCGGCTTGGGCTTGTTTTGATGTTCATCATTGTTTCATTTACTTCCCTCCTTTTAGTTTCTTTGGGTCTACTACAAGGCATTATTTTTAACACTCTGTGATGAACTCATCACTTTTTAATCTTTTTCTTTTCTAATATCTGCATGAAAGTTACAAATTTCCTTCTAAAAGCTTAACTTGTACTTAGTTATCATATACTTCAAAATATTTTATAATTATCCCTTCTTTCACCTATAAATTATTTTAAAATATACTACAATATCTTCTAAGCATATGTATTTTACTCATTGAAATTCTATCAGATTTACTTTCTATATTTAACACATCATTACCCACGTAAAAATCAATCATAAACTGAATTTTTTCTCAATATAAAATTACAATTGTTTTAAAGCTTAATTTTTCCAATTTTTTTAATATATCACTATATCTTTTTTCTATCAGTTATGAACCTTGATGCATTATGCTTTAATTATCTTTTGTAAATAGATCTTTTAAATAACTTTTAGCAGTTCATTTAAAAGTAATGATTATTAAATGTAGTTTTATTTATTTTTGGTACCAGGGATCCAACTTGGGACTTTGCACTGGCAAGGCAGACAGCACAACCACTGAGCTAAATCCCCGGCCCTTATATTTGGTTTTAATTCCATTGTCTTATGCTATATTTTTAATTTCTATACCTATTGTATCTATCAAAATCTTCTTGAGCAGAATATTTTCCCCTTCTATTATTAGCTTGGCAGTTACAGAGTCTCCCCTTCTTTTAGTGCTAATGACCTTGGAAATAACAGTATAGGCTACCCCATTAAGTTGTGATGGCCTTAGTCATTTTGGGATTTTTTTCCTTAGACTGTAACTAATTATTGTTCCTCAAAACCCCCAATGTATCACAGAAACCACAAATATCCTTCACAAATTTTTTTCGGCTGGAGGTTTGCAAGTAGCCAATCCAAGTGCATTACTCAGTTCTCCTTGCTGTTGACTGGCTGCTATCTTATAACCCATCTCTAGCAGATGTACCTGCATTCCCTTATTATAAAAAGGATGCTGTCTACCACCTGTCCCTATCTCCAATGTTCTAGGCTTTGTTCTTCTCAAAGTATTAAGATTCCTAAAATGTGGCCAAAAATCCGTAAATGTTCTATGGCTTTGTTAATATAGCATTTTTTATTAAGTTAAATTATATAACTTCAAGAGAAATAGCATATTTAAACTATAAAATAAGCATTCTTCTCATCATATCTGAATTTCAGTTTTTCACAATTCACAGGTGCTCTAGAATATAACCTGAGAATACTAGGGTCCACCATATATATTCAAATATCTTTTTCTTAAGACAAAACAAGGACTTTATGCCCTACCCAATTTTTTTGTTGTTGTTGTTTTGGTACCGGGGTTTGAATTCCGGTCCTTGTGCTTGCAAGGCAGCCACCGAACCGCTGAGCTAAAACCCCGGCCCTTGCCCTACCCAATTTATAAGCTATTATTACTGTGTACTTCTACTCTAGTTTTAAATCTCACTAAGTTCTATTTTATTTACAAAATATTTACCACTTTCATTGTCTACTCCTTCCTACATCTCAGACTTTCCATTCCAGCCTAATTATTCTTTAATCTAATGTATCTTTTAGAATTCTCTTCATCCCTCCAATTTTGCTTCACTGAAAACAGGTATTTCACTTTGCTCTTAAAAGACTGGTGGGGGAAGAATTTTAGGTTAACAAACGTTTTATTTTAAAACAATGACAGCATTCCTTTGGTCTCTAATGTTGTTGAGAAGTCAGCTGCCCATCTAATTCTCACTCTGAAACTTTTCTACATGAAGCACTGAATCTGTTTGTCTTATAATATTTTATAATTCCATTATAATGCATCTCAGTGCACTTTTCTTTTACATACCTGAAGTGGTTTACGTATCTACATTTCTTGTTCTGATTAGCTTGCACTAACACTGGAAAACTATTTTTCCTTCAAGTATTTACTCTGTTCTACTCTTTTCCCCATTATAACTATAACTAAATATATATTTATCAGATACTTTACCTAATAGTCACAACTTTTTCCATGCCCAATTCATGTCATTTAATCACTCCGATATTTTCCATCTTTGTTTCTTGATACTATATGGAATTTCTAACAAGTATTATCAAAATTTCCCTCCTACACCATTGTTAGCCAATTATAAGCTTCATTTAGCTACCATGTCCTTCCTTTAATTTTAATGTGTAACAACTCAGATTTTATCATTTACAACCTTGGCACATTTTTGTTTCGGTACCAGTGATCAAACCCTGGCTCCTACACTTACAAGGCAGGTGTGATGCCACTGAGCTAAATCCCTGGCCCGCAACCTTGACAGTTTTTAAGACCACAGGCCAGTTTTTCATATTTGACTACTGATATTTCTCATTAAGCATTTTTGTCAAGAAAGTCTCAGAAATATTTTGTTCTTTTTAATGCATCATATCAGGGGTATATGAGATCAATTTATTTTTTTCTGGTTAAATTTTATTACTTGTGGTATCTGTCAGGTTTTCTAGCTCTATAAAGTTGTCTTACTTTTCTTCTCCTTTATAGTTGTTCCTGGGGAAGAGGGTTTAATCAGATGGAGTGACTATGTTTTTAATTTTCTTCTAGTTATTTTTACAAGCTTATTTAATTTCATTCTTTTCATTTTGTAAATTCAGACTAGTTTAAAAGATTCCTAGTTCAGGGACAGTCTCTTTTGTAAGGTTCCAAAGTATTGTTCCTTTATTTTCTTTTTTACGTGGTGGTGGTAGTGGGAGAGTGAGTACAAACTCTTTGGATTCTTTTTTTTTGGTGGCAGTATTTTGTCTTACAAAACGTGTATTTTTGCTTCTTAATCACCAAATGTTATTGCTTCCTTTCTGCCTTTTCTCCCTCCAAAGCTCTGTCTTTGAATACTTTCTCCTTGTGCATAATCATATATTGTTTCTATAGTCAGTTTTCAGATTTTTCCATAATGGCAATTGCTTTAGACCAATTTTATGGCCACAGCTAGATCTCTTGCTCTGAGCAGTCCTATTTCCTAGTTGTTGTAAGTACGTTTGGTGGAAGTTTTTTATTCTTGTTCTACATTTTCTGTGGAGGTTATGTGGAAGAACATGAGTTTAGATAGATATACATTCATTATCTTTGGCTACTCAGAAGTCAGTAAAATACAGGTAATACGAACTCATGCTATAAAGTGTAAGTTTAAGTTCTATACAAGTTCTGGATTACAACAGATAGCATGTAAAAGCAATTTTAAGCCTATGCAAAATGCCAGTTAAACAGACAGACAATATTCCTTAAAAGTTAAGCTTTGAGTTCATGTTTTGGCCAGCTTTATGGACAGCTGGCATTTAGTGAGCTACCAATTTGAATTAACGCTGAGCTTTATTTTCTACTCTTATACACTATAATGCATGAAAGATAAACAGACAATTCAATAACCTCTAAGGTTATGGAGCAGACGTACTGTTCAGCTGACTGAGATCTCACTTACATTAGGTACTTGGTCTCTGTATTTATACTTTCTATTAGTTTACTGACACATTTAATGTGTTTTTCATATGATATCCAGAATGATTATTTTTAGCAAGATGTTCAAACTATCTTACACTCAGGAATGGAAACTGCTATTTTGAGGATCAAAACAGCCTCCCAAATCTGCCAATAATATAACTTATTTTAGTTGTAATAAAAAAAGTGAAATGACCTCAAACTTTCATCATTTAAAAATACGTCCAGTTACCAAATAAAATGAATATGCAAATCATTTAAACAATACATGCTACTGTGTAAATTTCTGCAATTTAACATTTTATATTGCACCTATTTTTATGTTTAAATGTAAAAAAAAAAAAAGATTACTGGTAGCAGTATGAACATACCCACATTAGCTATATGTGGTTTATATTTCAAGACTGGACTTTATAAAATAAATATGTCTAAGGAAATATAAAATTCTGGTAAGTAACAGCTTACAGAAAATAGATATATTTATGTTTATTATATCAAAAAGGTTTTTTAAAAAAAGCCCTGACAACTAAAAAAACCAGAAGACTCCTAAGACTTTGCAACACCTAAATTTCACTGTAGAAAGCTAAAGCTTATTCAGCAAAACCAAGGTACAAGGAGGAAAAAATTCTTACTCAAAAAGAAAAAACACTGTTACATACTTGCTGTTAAAAACTCAAAATGAATACAACAACTGTCAATCTGCAAAAATAGAGCTGTAATTAAAAATTAGATAGTAGCCCCAACCCTAAATTGTAAAATATTGGAAAATCCCAAACTCCGTGGGAAAAAAAAATCCAAAGCATTTTTTCATATATAATAAATGATTTTTAGTACTGTTTCACAGTGGATTGTTTGTATTACTTCTTCCTATGAATATCTCTCCTTTCCAATAATCTGTAACACTTGAAATAAAATAAAGGCCTGTTCTGAAGACCTGATTAAAAATAAGGAGAAAGAAAATTTCCCATTTCCTCTTTTCTGTTTGTCTTTTTCCCTCCTTGAATTATTATTACTTTTATTTTTTTATTTTTTTATTTTTTTTGAGACAGAGTCTCACTATGTAGTTCAGACTGCTGGCACTCACTGTGTAGCCCAGGCTGGTCTCGAACTCTGCATCAATCCTCCTGCCTCAGCCTCCCAAGTGCTGGGATTACAGGCATGCGCCACCATGCCCAGCCCCTCCTTGAATTATGATGCTATGAAATTGAATAATAGAAGCTTGTGTCTTACTTCACCTGAAATAATCTAATTCTGCCACATTTTCTGACTCCAATGTTTGCTGGATTACTAGAAGGTATTAAATATTTTAACCTAAAACATTCTTAATACAACAAATAACTTGAGAAATAAGTCAAATTTTGGACTTCTAGATTTATCTTATTAATTTAAGGTTAAAAAATAAATTAAGTATTTGGTAATCAGCTAATGCTGTTTGGTCGCTGTTACTACCTTCCTGTAGAGAAGGAACCTAAGATTTTTCTTGGCCAAATATATTGAATAAATTCAAAGCAAGAGTTAATTAGTTATTACTAAACATAAATTTTCCAACTTACTTCTGAGAGAGACCATTTACGTCTGTGGTCTAGAATATGTATGAGTAGAACCCATAATTCTTTCATGCATGAACAAGGACAATGATCACTCATTAATGCTTCAGAAGGTCTAATCTGTAGAAAAGAACCAAAACAAGTCATTTACAAGCAATCAGCAAAGTTTTACATACCACATATCTCATTGTTTTAAAAGGATTATTTAAAAAATGTATCCTATGCACATTGAGGCCATACTCTTAAGTGAAATAAATAGCACATATGTGTAAATACCAAATAGTTTCTCTAGTGTAAGAAACAAAGTGTACAAAAGGATCAAAATGTGTAACTGATAGTGTGAAATATGAAGAAAAGGTCTAAAGGGGTAGGGGAAGCAGGAGGTGTTGGAGAGAGGAAAGAAGGGAAAGGAAAAATATACAAGAAAAGGAAAAAATGGAAACAAAGTCTTTATAACGGGGGGGGTATTGAAGGGAGGGCTGAGAAATGGGGAAAAAATAAGAACCAAGATACATCATGTAAAGGTACAAGATCCCAATGATGAATGTAACTGTGCTGTATGCACCTAAAATGTACCAATAAACTTACAAAAAAAACCCTAAAAAAGTAAAAGTATTATAATTTATGTAAAACTTCACAAAGATGCCATTTGACTTTTAAAATCAATTTCCTTTTTACAAACAGTAATACAGGGCAAATTTGATTTTTTTCTTCCTTAAAAATATGCAAACAAATTCAATTTCTGCTTTATACATTATGTCTGATGTTCAACAAATTTTTGTGTAAAGGGCCAAATACTAAATATTTAAGACAGTAGTGCAACAGTAGCCACAGACAACAGGTTAAAGAAATAGATGGGGCTGTGTTCCAGTAAAATTTTTACTTATAAAAACAGGAGGTAAGGTAGATTTAACCTCAGGGATACTGTTTGCTTACCTAAATCTAACTCATTTAGTGGCCTCCCACCACAACCACAAAAACTTCTAATGAAAAGATTACAAAATAAATTGTGATTCACCATAAAGAAGAAAAGTTTTACATACTATAATAGGGATTCATACATGTTAAGCAATTCTCAAATTATTTTCCATTTCGGTAACAAAATATTCTGACCAGTTATAAATAATGTAGACATTTGCAAGAAAAGACGACTACTACTCATAAAATTTTCAATATTTCACCTATGTTAATATACATTTCTAACATAAAACATAGTTAAAAAAAAAAAAAGCTGGGAATGGTGGTGCATGCCTGTAATCGCAGCACTCTGGAGGCTGAGGCAGAAGAATTGCTGAGTTTGAGACAAGCCTGGACTACACAGTCTCAACTATAGAATGAAACTCAGTCTCAAAAAACCAAAAAAGCAAACCAAAATAAAACAAAAGAAACTGTTAAGATAGTACCAGAAAGCTTCCTCAGAGCAATTAGGCAAGAGAAAGAAATAAAAGATACCAATTTGAAAGGAAGAAGTTAAATTATTCCTAATTGCAGTGGATGTGCTCTTATATATAGAAAATCCTAAAAAATCCTCCAGAACATATTAGAGCTGATAAACAAATGTTGTAAAATTAAGGGTACAAATCAACATTTTAGAAATCCATAGTTTTGATATACTAATGGAAAGAAATCAGTAAGATGATTCCATTCATAACAGCTACCAAAAAAGAAATACTTAGGAATAAACTTAATCAAGAAAGTGAGAACTTGCATGCTAAAAACTAGAAACTATTGATGAAAGAAACTGAAGACACAAAAAAATGCAAAGATATCCTGTGTAAAACTGGAAGAAATAATATTGTTAAAATGTCCATACTGTCCATACCCAGATTTAATGTAATAAACCCTATCAAAATTAATATTTTTCATAAAAATAGGAAAAAAACTACAATTTGAAAATTTTCACAGAACCACAAAAAAACCTAAATAACCAAAGTATTCTAGAGTAAACAAGCAAAAAATAATAGTATTAGAATATCTGACTTCAAAATACACTACAAAACTACATGTATCAAACAGTATGCATTGACATAAAAAGCAGAACTGAAAAGAATCCTAGAAATTAGTGCACCCATTTACAGTCAGTTTATTTTGGATAAAAATACAAGAACACACCATGGGTGAAGGATAATCTCTTCAATAAGACTAGAAAAATCCATTGGAAAAACTGTATATGCAAGCATCGAATAATGACTTTTGATGGTTACCTCACACCGTATACAATTAACAACTCAAAATGGATTAAAGACTTAGTAAGACATGAAGCTATAAAATTATTATTAAGAAAATATAGGAAAAAAAGCTGTATGACATTTGGTTTGAGTAATGCTTTCCAAGATATGATGTCAAAAGTAAAAACAGTAAAAGTGAATATAGACAAATGGGATTATGTTAATCTAAAATGGCAACAATCTGCTCAGGAAAGAAAACAAAGTGAAGACAAACCTGTGGAACAGCACAAAATATGTGCAAATTTGTTCCTGATACAGTGTTAATGTCCAACTGTATAACAAACACAAAGAACTCATTCAATAGGAAGAAAATAGATTAAAAAATCAGCAAAAGACCTGAACAGCTATTTCCAGAAAGACAAAAATGGCCCAAGAAATATATGAAAAAAGTCAACATCACTAGTCACCACAGAAATATGAAATAAACGTGGATAAGATCTCATGTCATATATGTAGGAATATAAACAGTATAGCCATAGTGGAATACAGTATAGAGAGTCCTTAAAAATAAAACACAAAACTATGATCCAGCAATCCTACTTCTGAGTATATATCTAAAGGAAATGAAATCAGTACATCAAAGAAGTATCTGTACGTCCATGTTCATTGCAGGCATAACCAAGAAAAAAAAAAAATTCAATCTAAGTATACATTAGTGGATGAATGAATAAAAAATAGTGGGATATATACACAAAGAAGTACTATTCAGGGGCTGGGGACCCATCTCAGTGGCAACAAGCCTGCTGGGCAATCGGAAACTCCTGACTTTGATTCCTGGTTCCAGAAAAAAACAAATATTATTCAGTCTTTTAGGTTTTTTTAATTTAATTTTTTTTGTTTGTTTTTTTGAGACAGGTTCTCATTATGTACTTGAGACTGACCTGGAACTCACTATGTAGCTCAGGCTGGTCTCAAACTCACAGCGATCCTCCTGCCTCAGCCTCCAGAGTGCTGGAATTACAGGTGTGAGCCACCACGCCCGGCTATTCAGTCTTTTAAAAACTTGGTTGCTATTTGCACCTTCATGGATGGAGGAGGCTGGAGAACATTATGTGAAGTGAAAGAAGCCACGCACAGAAAGACAAATACCACAAAATGTCACTGATGTGAAATCTAAAAAGACTGAAATTAAAGAAACAGTGAGTAGAACAGTTATCAGGGGCTAGAGAAGAAAACGGGATATTACTCAAAGGTATTTCCATCAGGTAAGAGAAATAAATTCAAGAAATCTATACGACAAAAAGATGACTTCAATGAACATACATCTATATATCTATATATCTATATCTATATAGATATAGATATATAGATATATAGTGTTAATGTTCTACCAGAAAAAAATGATTCAAGTACATGTCTAGGTATTCGACAATGTATACATGTCTAAAACATCATGCTGTAGATGATAAATATATATACTTTAGCCGACTACAATAAAATAAATAAGTTGTATTCAAATAACATTATTGGGGCTGGGGATTTAGCTTAGTGGTGCCACTGCCTGCCTCACGAGTGCAAGGACCCGAGTTTGATCCCTGTTACCCCCCCAATAATAATAATAATAATAATTCAAAATAACATTACTGATCATACCTGGTTAATTCACTAATTATAAGCACTACAAGTAGAATTTATGCTTATAAAATGAAACAAGTGACAATAATCTAAAAATTTCCACTTCTCAAAAAGGAACACATCATGCTGCACTTTTAACATGTTCTCACTGGCTTGAATCACTGGTAGTACATGGATGGCTGTCCCAGTGAGTGGCATGGAACAGTCCCATCCGATGGTACAAGCAGCCTGATGGGTTACTAAAAATACATGCACGGCCCTGCTGTGAACATGTTATATGACTGTCTCCATAAATACTTATCATAAATGTAGTTAGGTAAAAAACACAAAAGTTATCCATGAGTCTAGACCTTAGATGAAAATAAATAGAAATCTTTCCTTAAATTTACCAAGTAACTAAAGATTTTATTTTATTATTTCATTAATAGCAATCTAATAGATTAAAGGGCTAGCCTCTTCTAATTGAGTAAAAGTTGAATTTCAGATTGTTCTCATTTATTTATTCTTTTTTTTTGGTACCGGGGATCAAATTTGGAACCTTGCACTTACAAGGCAGGCGGTGGAACCACTGGGCTAAATCCCCAGCCTTCATTTACTTATTCTTGATAGGATAGGGAGAGCAACTGTACTTTAAAAAGAAAACAAAACCTCAAAAATATACTTTCTCACCCTTGTCTTCTCCCCAACTCCTCTTTCTCCTCCTTTTCTTCTTGTGAATATTAATGATAACATTCCTCGCTTACAGATAGATTATTTATTCAAGAAAGGTGAATTTAACACCTAAATTCACTAAATGCCACGCAGTAGGTAGAAAAGAAAAACAAAAATCAGCTAGGTAGGGAGTGAGCCAACCATGCCCACACGAAACTTCAGATCTATAATACAGGGTAGAGGCTGCAGAAACAAGCCAAGTATACTAAGCCATCTGGTCTTTGACAAAGGGGCCAATGACATATATCCTGGAGAAAAGATAGCTTCTTTAACAAATACTGCTGGAAAAACTTGTTATCCATGTGCAGAAGATTGACTCTAGATCTGTATTTCTCACCATGCACTAAAATAAATTAAAATGAATCAAAGACCTACATATGAAAAGAGAATCTGCTGGAAGACAAAATAGGTAAAACTCTTAAAGACACGGGCATAGGCAAAGACCTTCTAGGCCCCAATTTTGCAAGACATAATGTAAAGAATCAACAAATGGATTATATTAAATCATAAAGCCTCTTCACAGCTTTTACAGATTGAAGAGACAATTTATGAAATGGGAAAATAACATTACCAGTTACTTCTCAGACTTAAGACCAATAATAACGAAAAATATATATATGTATCAGACCCAATCAAAAGAAGGGCAAATAAAATGGAGAGACACTTCTTGGAAGAAGTACAATAAAAACAAACACAACAAAAAAATGTTAATCATCTCTTGCTATTAGAGAAATGCAAATTAAACCCTAATTGAAAACCCATTATACTCCAGGAAGAATGGCTATCATCAAGAAATAAAATAATAACAAATGTTGGCAAGGCTGTGGGGAAAAAGGAAGTATTTCTACATTGTTGGTGAAAATGTAAACTAGTACAACCACTATGGATATCAAGATGAAGATTACCTAAAAACCTTAATCTAGAAATACCATTTGACTCAAGAGTGAAGATATCATATTGCAATAACATACACATATCATGACTATAGCAGCACAATTCATACTAGCTAAATCTTAGGAGTGGCCTAAATGTCTGTCAACAAAATGGATACAGAAAGTATGGTATTTATATACAATGAAGTATTACCATTTCACATAGGAGGATAAACTTGAGTCATCTGTAGCTCGAGACAAAAATGTTAAGTAAAATATATCGGACACACAAGCTTAAACATGGCATCATTTCCCTTATGAGAAACCAAAAATATAAATAAAGGGCAAAATGATAAATAGATAAAGGGAAAAAGGAAGACAGATCTTTTACAAAAGGGAAAGGGACTAAGAGATACAGGGAAGAGAGAGGGAAAAGGATGAAAAAGGAATTAAAATGTTATGTACATGCACTAGCTTCTCAAAGGAGTGTAATCATACTACACTGTGTGTACTAATTAAAAAAAAAGAATTGGAAAGAAGAGAAAAAACTCAAAAATGCTAAAATATTATCCAGAAACAGGCAATAAATCTATTTTCTAAAAAAAAGATATACAAATGGTCAAATGGAATATTAAAAATGATCAATAATATTAATCATCAAGGAAACGCAAATCAAAACCATAATGAGATATCACCTATCACCTCATTCCAGTTATAATGTCTATTATCAAAAAGACAAAAGGGGCTGGGCATATAGCTTAGCTTGTGCAAGGCTGAGTTTAATTCTCAGCACGCACGCACACACGTGCATACACACACACACACACACACACACAAGATAAAGATAACAGGTGCTGACAAAGATGTGGAGAAGAGAATACTTACATACTGTTAGTAGGAATGAAAATTATTACAGCTACTATTGAAAACAATATGAGAATTCCTAAGAAAATTAAACTACTATATGACCTAGTAATCTCACTACTGGGTATATAAACAGAGAAGATAAAATCAGTATGCTGAAGAGATAACTGCACTTTCACTTTCACTGAGGGCTATTCACAGCAGCCAAAACATGGAAACAACCTAAGTTTCCATCAACTAATGAGTGGTATAGTACATGTACACAATAAATATTAGTTAGCCTTGAGAGAGAATGAAATCTTGTCATTAGTGATGATATGGATGGAACTGGAGATCATTATGTTAAGTGAATGAAGCCAAGCACAAAAGTACCGCATGATCTATTTGACATCTAAAAATGCTGATCTCATAGAAGTTGACAGTAGAATGGTAGTTACTAGAGGATAGGGAGAGGGGATGAAGACAGAGATATGGAAAAGTTCATCAATGGATACAAGAAGATACAAGTAAGAAGATGTGGTGTGGTATTAAACAGATGGGTGCCCATATATTACAATAACGTACACTACATTTTAAAAACCTAGCCTAGAAAAATTGAAAGTCTTCACCATAAACAAATGATAAATGTTTGAGGACTACACATGCTTAGCTTCATTAAGACATTACACAATGTATGCATGTATTGAAGCATCATCTTTTACATGATAAACATGTATAATTTTTGCTTCTATGTACCATTTAAAAATTTTTAAAATACTAATTCTAGCTTGTTGTAGATGTTTAAATCAAAATTCTATTTGTTCCTAGAAAATAGAAACTAAATATAAAGTTAAAAGAAATAATAAGTAAACTATCTTAAATTCAGAAATTAAACCATATAAAATAAGAACTATTATCATAGATTATCAAAATAAGTAACTTTTAAAGCATTACCTTGTCATACCTGCAGAGTGACAGGCTTATTAAATCACATAAAAGATTTTCACAATGTTCTTCAAATAGGCTGACATTGGTTAAATTGTCACCTGCCAGATTGATAAAGTGATGACCATATACAGCTTGTTCTGAAAATGTAATGAAATAAATTCTACTTAAAAGTACATGACATTTTACTAAATCAGAAGGAAAAATGAATGTTGACCTTTGTGAAATACAGTTAAAAATTTTTACAAATAAAAGTTGAATTTTGACAGCAATCACTTTATATGAGCCCTGAAACATTAACTGAAAACATTTCTAATCCTTTAAAGTACAATTAAATAAACTTACACTAAAGTTCTCTTTAACTTTCTCTGATATGTATCTTTGAAAAGCATTAATGTTATTTCACTTCAAAATAAGAGAGGAAACAGTAGAAAATCTTTACCTATAATTCTAACCAACAACACTTCTAAAACTTATTCTGTTTTGTTTTTTGTTTGTTTGGTTTTGGTAACGGGATCAAACCTGAGACCTTGTGCTTGCGAGGCAGGTGGTAGAACCACTGAGCTAAATCCCCAGCCCCAAAACATTATTCTTTTGACAAAATAATCATATGTAATTGTTTGTGGCTTAAAATAGAGTAAACAAAGGTTATAAGCAAAAATGGCACCTGTATCACAGGTAAGTCTTCTAGAGTATTGTTCTTAGGAAATACTATGCAAAAAATAGTCACAGCGACAGGAAATGGTAAATGTTTGTATACCTTTGTATGTTTGTGTATGTACATAAGTTTACACACACATATATATGTGTGTACTTTGAAAATTAACTTAAAAACTAAAAAGCAAATATTTAGGTAATACATATCTTTACAATCCAAAGAGTTTGGTACAGGAACCTGAAGATGCTAAACAGCAAGATCAAGAAATATAGAGGCAACATTGCTATCCAGAGCATAAACTCCTATTAAGAAAAAAAAATCTGCAAAAGATAATGAAGAGCTTATTGAGATAATTACAAAGAGATAATAAAATTATGTAAAGATGTTCCAATTCATTGGTAACCAAAGATCACAGATTAAAAGTTGTAAAAATAAAAACAGTAATGTCCACTGTTGACAAAAATATGAAGTAAAGGCACACACAGTTAATAGAAATAAAGCTACAATGTGCTACTCCTAAGAATCTCTCTTATAAAATTGTATATATACAGATAAAAGATGTGTGTATGTGTGAGTATGTGTGGATATGTACCTGTATGTTCAGTAAAACATTATTGGTATTATAAAAAAAAAGGAAACCTTCAAATAATAGACATGGCTAAATAAACTTTACCAATTCATAAAATGCAGCTCTTAAATGAATAAAGTACAGCTATATGTACTAACATGAACAGATCTCTAAAAAAATGAAAGACCACACTAAATGGTACAGCAGTTATAGTTAAAAAGAAAAACAAAGTCTAGCTAAGCGTCTATATCTATGTACTAGTAGATGGTAAATCAAATAGACCAAGCTACTCCTGAAAAAAGGCAGTAAAATTATTTTTTACTTCAGAGCTTGACTTTTAAAAAACATCAAAGTACTTATGATTTTCGTAATTTTAAAAAGCAATTTTAAAATTTAGATTTTTTTAAAAAGGGCATAATGAGAAATCCATGAACTTACTCAGTTTTTCACCCAGCACATGAAGAATTTCTAGTACCAGCCAATGGATATCTAAATGGAGATGTAGTAAATGCCATGATGGTGGGAAAAGCTGTGAATGACATTTTCACCCATGATTGAGAATTGAGACTTCACTAGGTATTTTTTAGCACATTACAAAATTTTTCCATAAAAACAAGGATAAATAACCACTTAACCTATATTTTTCAGCATATCACAAACACAAAGACAAAGAACCTTTTAACCTGGGCCTGGTGTGGAGGCACACACCCGCAATGACAGCACTCGGCAGGGCTGAAGCAGGAGGATCGCTGTGAGTTCGAGACCAAGCCCGGGCTACACAGTGAGTTCCAGGTCAGTCTCAACTACATAATGAGACCCTGTCTCAAAAACAAACAACAAAACAAAAAAACCTGTTTAATCAAAAACTTTACACAAAACCCCAGGGAAAACTTCTGCTTGTTCATTAGAGGATTTTTTTTTACTGAAGATAATCTGAACTAAAAGCAAGGTATACTGTCATCTGTTGGTTTAAGATTGACCAACCTGTCTATACTAAAGGTACCTTTCCAACCTCTGATTCTATACCAGTTGAAAGGCAGTAAAAAATAAAAAAACCCAAAACCTTTTTCAAACACTTACTTTCATCATTGTTTTAGAATTCAGCTACAAAATTTTTTTAATGCAACAAGTTCCCAGGAACTGCTAAAAAATATTTTTAAAACAGAACAGACTATCATGTAGACATGCTTCAAGAAATGTAAGTTGAGGGCCAGGGATTTAGCTCAGTGGTGCTGTACCTGCCTCCCAAGCACAAGGTCCTTAGTTTGATCTCCAATACCAAATACATACATAAAAAGATGGAAAAAAAGAAATACAAGTTGAAAGACATGTTATGTATCTCTTAATTCATTGGGATTCAAATCTAATTTTATCTCACTGAAAAGCCAAAACTTTTAACTACTGTTATAATAGGTTATCACTAAGTGTGCTCCAGTCAACATTGGGTAACATATTAAAAATAAACACAATGGAATAACATGTTCCATTAAAACACCAAGGAAAATGAAAGAAAAGAGACTTGTCCTATCAGAAGTACAAACAAAATAAATTCTGGATCAAAACAGTAATGGTCCGGGAAAAGACAACAAATAGCAAGAATAGGGAAGAAAAAGATCAAAAAGATGTGGAATCTCAAATCAGTGAAGTATAGCTCATTCACTATAAAAGTTAACATCCATTTCCAAGATCTAAAAGATTTTCCACCTCACTGCTTTTCTTAAAAAGAGATAAACTAAAGAGATAAATGTAAAATTAAATATTTTTTTAACAACATAGAAGATACATTAAAAAAATCGACACATACAACTAAATTTAAAACTTAAATCATTTACTTTGGAAGTCAGTTTAATTGAACAGAAAATTGGAAGAAAATATTTGTAATACATAATATCCAACAAATAACATCTATAATAAAAAATTTGTAAAAAAATGCCTCAAGTGAAAATACCCATAAAATATAATATACTCTTAAAAGATGTTTTGTATTTTTTAAATTTTGTTTCAGAAAATAACAATATTTCAACGTATGATTTTTGTTGTTGGTGTTTATTTGCTGAAGATTGTAAGTTCCCCTGCTTTAAAAATCCAGTCTTCTGAGCTTAAACAACCTATCTTTTCAGGTCTGCCTAATTCCTAAGCAAGGCAAAACCATGTAAGAACCCTTGTACACAAATAAGTCGTTAATTTTTACTTTGTTATGCTTCTGTCAGGTATCCAAAACTATAACAACCAAAAAATAACAACAAAATACAACAGTACAATGTATAGAAACTAAAAAGAAAAAATATCCTTCTCCATACAATTTACTCATGTCTTTGTTAAATGACAATTAAAAGCAACTTGTTTCGGGGATTTAGCTCAGTGGTTCTGGCACCTGCTTTGCAAGTGCAAGGACCCAAGCTCGATCCCCGGTACCAGAAAAACAAAAACAAAAACAATACAACTATTTTTTACTTGCTTTGTATGAATTATACATAAAACCTGTGGGAAATGTTTTATTATATGAAATAATAACTTTGTGTTATTTTGATTAATTTTCATAGAAATGCATAAACAATCTTAAATGTTGGTAAATATATGTCCCTAAAAACTTAATGTTATTTAACTGGCTAAAGTCAAATATAACAGAAGGGGTTGAGCATTCAGGAAATCTGACTGTGAACTGTCTTACTTTGTTATACACATTTTCCCATTTTCATATGGAAGACTTGTTATTTGTCTATAAGCTCAGCCACACTAATAATTTCCAAAAAAAGTCTCAAAAATAATAGAAATCATGATGTAATTTTAAAAGTATCTTAAATAGAATGACCTCTTTGAACCTTACTATAATATATAAATGGTGATTTGTCCAAACCTTTACGACAAAGAAGATGATACGAGTTCTAGAAGACAAAAGTCATTTTATTCACTTTGAAGCTCTTAAACATTTACAGTGATAAATATGAAGTGAATAACTATTGATTCAGATATATTGCTTTAACCACTTTAGGCATATTACTTTAATTTTTCCAATAAATCTAGAAAGTTATACAAAGTGCACGGGTAGGGAGATTGAGGCAAGAGACATTACTTGCTCAGAAAGAGAAAATTAATAAAGACGGGACCAGAATTTCAACTCAATGTTTGATATCAGCGTACCATTCTTGACTAATTTTTCTTATTCTTGAACAAATACTCTGTGAGGGAAAACTGATAATTTAAAAATTAAATGAAGTAATCAGACCTTATTTTGGTTTTGATTTACATATGCTCCTGGATTAATCCTGGGAAGTTCAGATAGATGTCCAATATACAAAAGTAATCCATGAAGTTCATCAACCAGCACAGAGGGAAGCTGAGCCTCCAAATTCTCATAGCGGTGGACAGGAATGTGACTCTCAGCATGCTGTACATTGAGGCATCTAAAAAAATGATTAGATACAATAAACAACCACAGTCTTAGGTATACCCACAGAAATTCAAGCAAGAATCAAAATATTCCGCTGTTATCCTACCTGAAGATGAAAACCTTAATATAATGGAGAAATACTATACACTGCTGTCTAATATTGTTTGCTTTGCAGTGTAGGGTTGATACTTTCCCTGAAAGCAAAATAGAAAATGTTAATCATAGCTTAAATATCAGTAGATACTAAACAAAAATGTTGTAGGCCATATCAGCAGTAATTATCTATAATTTTTACATTGATTCTCATGTAATGTGTGTACCTCCCACTCCTCAAAACTGATCCTTAGTATAGTCACCAAAGCTGTTACCCGATGTAGTGGGTAGTAGCTATCCCTCAAATAACTTGCCTTGAATGTAGCACTGGCTATAACTGGCTCCACTGAAGGTACTTCATACTGCCAATCTTTTTTATTTCTCTTGCATTCTGTCTCTTACCTCTTCTTTATTGGCTCTTCCTCCTCAATTTCTTTAAATTTGTATTTTCTTATTTTTGATGCTGATGAATCCAGAGTCTTTCACATATAGGCAAGGAGGCAAGCAACCTATTTTGCTAACATGAGGTCTCCCCAGGATTCAGTGCAGGTTCCTCTTCTATGTACATCTCTTCCTACTTGTGTGATATCTCATCAGTTACTTTACTAATAAATAATATCAAAATATCTATATCCCATACCTTTGCTTTGTACTTGCGACGTTACATGTCAAAATGCCTACTACTATATTCAGGCAGTACTGTCAGACAGAATGTTTACCCTTCAGCTGCTTCAAAAACCAGGTCATTGGGCCAGAGATTTAGCTCAGTGGCATTGTGCCTGCCTCCCAAGCACAAGGTCCTAAATTCAATCCCCAGTACCAGAACCAAAAACAAAAACAAACACAAAAAACAGTTCATGCTATCTATATTCTCTCCACTTCATTAAATGATATCCTAAGTGGTCTATAACGTTCTTGATTCTTGTATTTCCTTTAACTTCATATCTAATCCACCAGTGTCTTATTAAATTTATAAATAAATTTTGGAAATATGTATTCTCCCTATAATCAGTTAATTCACTGTTATAGGACACCTAAGAAGTCCTTTCACATACTCTTTTGCCTCCCTATAACTTAAGTACAGAATCCGCTTAAAATGTATACTAACCCCTACTGCTTCCAAGTCAAATGCCAAAATGGCTAGTGACTATATCTCAAATAAAATTCAAACTCTTAATTATTCACAATGCTCCAAATGATCTCTGATTATTTCTTGGTTTTCTCTTATCCCATGCTGCCTTTCCCTTACTTAATGTTTATTTCTTTGAGAATTACCTACTATGTATAAAACGCTTATACCCACTAAGTGCCAATTGCTAAACAAAATCAGAGAAAACTTGAGATTTATAAGGCAACAGATTCTCATCCATAATAAATATTAATAAAATTTATTTCTAGATATGAATTTAAATGAAAACCATAGCTACTACTCTGGTATAACCAATAGCAGAAATACAAAGTTACTGTAACGAAAACCATAGCTACTACTCTGGTATAACCAATAGCAGAAATACAAAGTTACTGTGCAAATACCTAAATAGTAAAATGCACTTAATCTCACCAATAAAATGTTATGTGATTCCTGCTATCATCTGAATATGGTTTGTCTTCTCCAAGACCCATTTTCAAATTTACTGTCATTGTGGTGGTGATAGATAAGGGACTTTATGAGGTGATTAAGTCAAAAAGAGGGCTTAATTCCATGTTACAGAAGTTAAGTTCTTGCTACTGCAGGACTAGTTTAGTTACCAAGTCAGTGGGATACTATAAAGCAAAGCCACTCCTCATGCTTCATCTCCTTCATGCCTTCTCCTTTGTGCCTATGATGCCATCAACTATATTATATGCACCATGAGGGCCTAACCAAATGTAGCTACATGATCTTGAACTCCCTAGCCTCCAGAATAATACCTAATAAAGCACTTTTCTTTATTAATTATGTAATGTCAAGTATTCTGTTACAACAGCAGATAAAAGGCTAAGATAATCCCTCACTTTAAAGATTCTCAGCCTGAAAGAAGTATGCTGTAGCTACTGCTGTGCACTTCTGTATTCAGGCAAGATGGAATAAAAGGATCAAATTTATCCATCTTGTATCTTAAACGTGAAAACCAGAAAAACAACATAAATTGAGTTTTGAGGATTTGGACACAAAGCAAAATAAAACTGCCATCCCAGAGAGGTGACCCCAATGACTCTAATCAGCCTCACATCTAAAAACAGTATCCAGCCTGTGACAGGAGACAGAGACCAGAGAGTCCAATTCACTAATGAAAGGAGACATGAGATCTCAGTTCAGGAAAATCTAAACTTATAGTGCAAAAGTATCACAGAAGGAAAAAAACTACGTATACCAAAAAAAAAAAAAAAAAAAAAAAAAAAAAAAAAAAAAAAAAAAAAAGCTCTGGAAATACACAGAATGTCTTCCTTGAGTCTCTGAGTACTGATCTGTTGAAGGATGAGAAAAAAATGACCTAATACTCAGAAAAACATGAATCTTATACAAGTCAGGGAAGAGTTCAAGTACCTACCAGCAAGAATGAGAAAAAGTTTTGTAATACACTAGGCACCAGTAAGAATCCTGAGAAGCCATTCCAGCCTAATTTAATAGTTTTAAAAAGCTCTAACAAAGTATAAACCAAGTCCCCAAAGAGCCATGCCTGTAATCCCAGTACTCTGGGAGGCTGACAGAAGAGGACTGCAAGTTCATGAGTAATCTAGGCAATTCAGCAAGATCCAGTCTCAAAAATTAAAAATGGCTGTGGTTGTAGCTCAGTGTGGAGGTGTGGCAATTTAAAATCCATAATATATGTCAACCAATGACACATTTCTAGTCAAAGAAAAAGCAAGGTAAATCACAGAACTAGAGAAAAATCAATGAATATAAATAGACCTAAAAGTGACAGAGATGAAATAATCAGTAGTCAGCTAAGCTACAAACAGCAAATAGACAAATACTACATACATTTTAGATAATATAAATACAGAAACGAAAAATATAAAAAGAAATTCAAATGGAATGTCTAGAAACCATACACATACAAATACAATACCTGAGAAAAACTAACACCAAAAACTAAATTCAAGGACAGATATCAACAGAACATACACTGTACTGATGTTATTCTGCCAATACTAGAAAGCAATCTGGGAACATATGGAATAAAAGAGGAACTAATGCACTTAGCATTAAGTGATCCTACACAAAGGCTTTTTCAAAAGGGTTGAGGGCCATGGCTAGCTACAGAAATGTATTAACAAAGTTGTGACATAACAGTATGGCAGGAACAAGGTGGTGTCTGGATCATCCTGATATACTTAACTTGTCCAACAAAACTGTCATTAAAAATGTTTTTAAGCAACAAAAATAAACAGGATGTTAGGATAACAAATCACAGTTAACAAATGCAGTCACCTATGATTATCTATGCAATATTGCTCCTAGGATCCTCTGTATCTATCAAAACATGTGGATACTTAAGTCCCTTATATAAAATATTATAGTAGTACGCCTTCCATACCTGCAGATGAAAAACATGAAGATACAAAGGGTCAACTAAAATGGTTTTGGTTAGTCAGTGTGTTTCAAAATAAATGTTATATAGTAAATGCCTTACATAAGCCTAATTTATTTGTCATTATAGTAAAGGAATTTTTTTTCCACTATAAATCTCAACCTTTCTCTGCATTTGTTTGTACACAGACATGTGCATGCATATGTGTGTATGGACCTGGGGTTTGAACCCAGGGCCATGTACTAAACTACATTCCCAGCCCTTTTTTATTTTTCAGAAAGGGTCTTTCTAAATCACTAAGTTGCCTAAGCTGGGCTTAAATTTGTGATCCTGCTGCCTCAGCCTCCAAGAATGCAGCAATTAACAGGCATGTGACTCTATACCCAGCCTGTGCTGTAAGGTTTTAGAGTTGTTAGGGGTTTCAAAATAAACTCAGATTGTGGGGCATGGTTTACAAAGCAACCTGTGATATCAGTCCTTCTAAATTCATCACTGCCAAACACACATTATTCACTCCATGCTCCTTAAACATTTATGCTTTATACATCTCAATGTCTCTCTCTCTCTATCTACACACACACACACACACACACACACACACACACACACAATTTTGATCCTGTCCCATAACCTTCCTTCAAATCTTTTGCCTGGCTAATTCCTTTCTATCCTTGAAGAACAAGATGTTGCACCATTTATGATAGGCACATATCATAGATAAAACCCTGCTGGGCCAGGGATTTATCCCAAGTTTGATCCCCAGAACAACAACAACAACAAAAAAAAATCTTGAACTTCCACAGAGATTTTGTATGGGTCTTTTATCACTATGATTTGTCATTTACCATACTGTCCTGTGCTTGAGTATCTGTTCAACATAGCGCAAAACTCTAAAAGTATATTTTTTCTCAATATTTCATTAGCACCTTGCATACTGTCTGGTTTGAAACAGGGACTTATTAGATGACGAAACAGTAATACAAAACTGATCACAGATTGTGAAAACAAGACGGAACCGAAATAACCTGAAACATAGTGAATAGCTAAGCCTCAGTATTATAATTTTCATAAAATATAAATGAGATTGGTATTTTGTAATTACGTTGAAACAAGACAAAAAATTATGTAATCATGACTAAACACAAAAACAAGGCATTTTATATCACATACACACAAAAACAAATAAAAAAATCCTTCTAGCTATGAGGTTTACGGTTTCTTTACTAAACAGAGACCTCCCCAACCCTTCTTTATTTGTTCTGCCTCCTAGATAAAAATCTAATTGCCTGAAAATCATCAAATTGCAGGTTTCTGAACAGCATCCAATTGAGAATAAAGCTTTATCTTCCTTATGCCTTAACCAGCCAACACAAACCAAAATACTACCATGAATTCTCTTCTACTCCTTCTGAGAATCTCCAACTAGTCTTTATAATGTGAATTTTCCCCTTGCTTTGATATACTACAAGTGGGTTCCAGGTGATCTTTGGGCAATACTAATGACATACTACGGGCTAATTAATGTGATAGTCCTCACAAAAATTCAATGAGGTAGGAAATACTGCTTGGTGAGAGATCTCCAATTGTGGAGCCCAAGCTATTCCCCTAAATTGTACACTGCACTCAAATTTCTAAAACGCAGAAACTAGTCTGCAGAAGACATAATGCTTTTCAATTTATTTCACTACCTTAATTATACCAATCAGCCTAACATCAGTAATCCACTAAATGCCAAGAGAAACAAAAAAACAGGAAGCATAAAAGACCAAGAAAGTAGCATGAGATCCGTGACTTTTAATTTACATACTCCATCCCAGTCCAGTTCTAAAACAAGTATTAATTCACTTCTGAGAATTTTAGCTTCCTTTAGTTTCTACCTTTAAGACATATATTTGAAAACATATTATAAATCCCGGCTATAACAAAATTTCAATGTCATACTTCTCCTGACCACTGACTAAAAAGAATTGTAAACTTGTTTTGTTTGTGATAAGGTCTTGGTTTTTTACCAAAGTTAGCCTTGGACTCTCAGGCTTATGTGATCTTGTCTTTGCCTCCCAAGGAGCCAAACTATAGATATGGACTTTTCTCACCAACACTTCCTTCTTATTATTAGGCTACCCTAATTATATTATCATGGACCATGTGCAATTCACTGTAATGCAGTGGCATTCCTTTTTTGTTATTAAACGTACTTTAAACTTACCAAAATCACAGTTAACCTGTAGTAAGGTTTCCAAATTATATAGCTGTTGCCTAATTTAAAAAATGTAAGGTGAGAGTTAATTTTAGCAGAATTTAAAGCATTTTAACAATTACACAGATATTTGCAAATTACCTATACTCTAGACAATCTATGAGATACTGTTTATGTTTTTAGGAAGTTTAAGATATATAAAACATTCTAGATTAACAGTTAAAAGAAATATTTTATTGCATTATACAGTGCTTCAGAAAAAGAACAGAATTCTGTAGACTACACTTATCAAGAAAAGCTATCTCAATTCCTAACAATCTTTTCTTGCTAGTCTTTCAAACTGCCTTCAAACTCTTAAAGATTGGCCCATATTTATGACCTATGTCCTAGAGTGACTCATTAACTAGGATATTTAAGATTTGATAAAATATAACATAGCACAGATAGAGTGACGTCTTACTATAAGGTTTCATGGGATAAGGATGATAGAATACTTGAGATCTCTCCATTTTCATTTAAATGTACCACAAATACATTTTTTAATGTGTTTTTGGTAATCTTCCTTAACTGACTTTGGCTTAAAATCATCTAAAATCTAAAATATGTTTTAAATGATAATGAAGAATGAATACTGTTAACTGTGCCAATGATATGATGCTTTTTAAAAACCGTATTTTAAAGGTATAAATTCACAAGTATTTACGGGTAAGATGATGGTGTTTGTTTATAAAATACTAAATGTAAAAGAACAGGAATAAGACATGAAAAAGAGTGATAAAATCTTGATGTTAAGTGTAATCAGTTTCTGGAGCTTGATATTACTATTTTTTTCTACTTTTGTGGATGTTTGAAAATTTTCATTAAAGTATTTTCTAAAATGTTGCCCACAAAGAGACTTACTCATACTTTTACCACACAGGCTGAAAGATATATTTGGGAAGTCCAAGCTTATTTTTTAAAGAACAGCGAAAGACTATGGCTATTAAGCAATGAAAGTATTCTAACTTTCTCCCAAAATTATAGGTGAAAATTTTAAGTATCTGTCTTCAATACATGACATCAAAGATAAATGATACTCTGAAAATTAATAAAAAGTCACTTATTAGAATCATTACTCCATCAGTCATTACTTATTTATTGTTACTGGTCATATAAACAAATGAACAAACAAAATACCACTGATCCTTTTCTAATCAGTTATTAGAAAGCATTTAGTAAGGTAACTTCCAAAACTGAACATCTATATTCACAGGGAGTTAAAAAAAAAAACAAAAAAACATAAACACATACCTGAATAAATGAAAAAGTTCTCTAGAAGAATTTACTAATGCTGTCTCAGTAACCCATTCAATGCCAAATATTTCTACTGTATCCTCTTCAAAATTAGTTGGTAAAGGATCAAGATTCAAAAGTAATCTGAAATGAAAATCCTGATTTAATCTCATAAAATGTATGCTAAGCATCATAAAGCAGCATATCTTTTTCTACAGTGTTGGAATCTGTATCATACACAACATGTATAGTAAATCAGAAAATGCCTCGGTAACTTATTTAGGATTACTATAGCCATTCCTAAAGAAAGTAGACCTGAAGAGTAATGTAACATAGGAGGAAACCCGAAAAAGATTCTAGGGAACTTACTTTTGCTTGTCTTCACTAACTGGCTTCAGCTCCAGTATTTCATTCTTTGATGGGACATCTAATATCTCCTAACAGCTGAAAATCATTCTGGGTTATGCTTAATGACTTGCATAATCAAGGTGGACAATACTAAGTTATCTAACAAAATACTACTAGAAAAATCAACAAAAATGATTTCATTCCTTATTGCAACTGCCTCAGTAGGAATTACCAAAATATTTTAAGAACTGCAATGGGTATATACCCGACTGATTCAAAAATACGTCTATGACTTCTATATGTATAGATACACAGAATTAAAAAGAACAGGGGTAATAAAAAGTTTAAGTATGACTTACTGAAAAGCTCTACAATATTATAATAGTCTTTAAAAGGAAATACCATTTTAAAAGATGCACTTAAGTTCAGATTTCTCTTTGGTAAATCAATGTCCAACTCCCTACTCCAAACCTAAGATAGCAGTAAGATTAAGAGAGTATCATCAATTACCAAGGAAGTTCTCATTAATACTCCAAATATTTCTAGGTATACTTCAATATTTGTAGGTATACTAGGAAATTAATATTTTTACTTTTATGAAATACTATGCCGATTTACAAAACATGGCTTGGTGAACATCGGAGTTTAATAAACAGAAACAATAAATTACTAAGAAACTGCTGAATAATCAGATGAGGGAAAAACTACACATTTTTAAAAACCTACCGCTTAAGAGCTCCACTAGCAAGGTAGGACTCTCCAGAAAAAGTTTTGCCTCCTCTGTTGTCAAAAGCACAAGAAAAGCAAGGGGGACTGCACCACTCTGTCTTCAGTTCCAGCTCTAAACTGTCGGTCAGGAACGTTGATCCAAAAGAACAGTCGTTCATTATTTACTTCATGTCCTGAAATGTTTGTGGTTCGTTAGGGTTATCATTAAGGCTCCAAAAAGGAATTGCATAAGTTTTCCTGGGAATGGACTAGGCCAAAAGAACTCAAAAAGTTCCCAAACGTCCCTCCGGCGCAAATGAAAAATTGAGAGCGAGAGTGAGAGAGCAATCTTCAATCTCCCCTTATCAGGGTCCGACCCCGCCCCCACCTCAGATCAAGACCATCAGAAAATCGACAGGGAGCGCCCCCTACTGGCTGTGGCAGACTTAAAACTGCCCTCTACGTCGACTCTGCAGCCTGGGCCAGGGTGCAGGGCAAGGAAACTTCCGCCGGACAGACCCAGCTTCAATTCCTTAGGGCCCTGGGAACTGCGATCTCCCCTACATCTGTAAACCGCTCAGAAAGTTGGCGAAAGCTCACTGGCAGGCTGGGTGACAGACAAGAAAGCCTCCGGCCGCAAAACCCTAGTCCCGGTTCAAGGGCGAGACCGTCCCCGGCACTCGGGTGGAGGGTGAGGAGAGCCGCTGTCCTATTTGCAAGGCTGCCACCTGGGCCCAGGGGCGCACGCGATGCGCCTCTTACCCGCTCACACTTCCAGTCCCGAGGTCCGCGTCCAGAGATCACTGCTACTGCAGGCGAGTTCGCGCGACCTAAACCGGAAACAGGTGAAATTCCCGCCAAGGCGCGCCCGAGAGCTGGAAGGAGGGGCCAGGGGGCGGGCCGCCCCTGGCTGCCGGAGGTCTCGCGCAGTCTTCACGGAAACGGCTGGCGCTTCTCGACTTCTCGCGAGAGTCCTCCGGCCGGTCTGAGGTACACAAACACAGCTTTTCTTATTTGTGACCTTTAACTGGTACTTTCGGCTGGAAGGTGGTCATGATTGGAAAAGCAAACTAGTAAGTGAAGCAGCGGCAAGAAAGGCTTGGAGTCCCCGTGGTTACTGTCAGGCTGGGGTGAGGAGACTGTTACCAAGTAAGCGCGAAGCGGTCCTGTCAGTCACAACGTCAGGCGGCCTACGCCCTCTTTCTGCTCTAGGTCCAGCAAGTCTTTTGTTCGGGGGTGGAACGTGCCTTTTGCTCATGCATAGACTATAGTCCTGACGACTGCAAGAGAGAAGTTAATCTCGCGTTTGGAAACTGTGTCAGGTGGCCCTTTCTTTACGTCTAAAAGCTATCGTACCCTTTTTTTGCACATATCTGGGCAAGGTTAGCACTTTTTTGTTTTGTTTTTAACGGTAGCAGAGTTTATTAAAGGTGGCAAAAGAAACAGGCTCTGCAGAGTGAGCTTGGGCCACGTATAAGGAAAACTCCACCCTGCAGCGTGGGGCACCACGCAAGAACACAGTGGCAAGGTTAGCACTTGTAAAAATGCAGTTAATTTGTAACGGTTTGTTCACTTTTTAAAAGTGTACTTTAAAATTGACTCCTCAGAAGGCTTTTCAGTTTAACTCAGTTAACATATTGCAATATATTACCAATTTGAGATTTAAGAAAAACTATTTTTAATTCAAATACCTTTTATAATCTGAGTATTTGGCATTGCCCCGTTCCTCCACAGTACAAGTTGTCTTGTGTTCAATTCCTGCAGAAGGAACCTATCATAACTCTCCTCTGTTTAAACCAAATAAAACACATTTCTTCTAAATGGGATGAAGTGAGAAAAAACACAATATGATCTCTCTACTGCAGTTTAAGGCTTCTGCAGTGGGTGTTAGATTTGTTCTGCTCAGCTGTACTCCAGGACTCCAGTGATCCTCCTGGCTCATCCTATGGAGTAGTTGGAACTATAGGTAATCACCACCACATGTAATAGCTAACAATTTTAGAGAATTTAATTCTTTTCTCTTTAATGAAACAAGTAGACTGGAAATTTGACATAAAAGACCTGACTAGCACTACCATCCCAGTTGACCTGATTAACATTCACGTGACTCAATCCACTGTAGCTGAATACATACACTTGGCAAGTACATATGGAACATTCATGAAGATGGACCATATTCTGAGACATAAACTTGGCCAGTTTTGAAAAGATTAAGGGTTGGGGTTATAGTTCAATGGTTGTATACTTGCATAGTGTGTGCAATCCATGGTTTCAACCAACAGCACCACAAAAAATACATTGAAATTACAAAAAGTATATAAAATATATTTTCTGACCACAAGGCCTTACACTGAAACTCCTTACACTGAAAAATAAAAATGAAGGAAAGTTAAATTTAATAAACAAACCACAGTAAATGAAAACTAAAGCCAACAAAGTTATTTGAAAAATCAACATATAATTGATAAACTCTCTAGAAAGATGATAAATCACCAATATTGGGAATAAACAAGTATCAATTCAAATTTTACAGATGTTAAAAAGGTGAGGATATTAAAATACTGTTAAGAACTTTTTTGGGGGGGCTGGTATGGGGGATTGAACTCAGGTCCTTGTCCTTGCGAGGCAGGTGGTAGAACCACTGAGCTAAATCCCCAGCCCAAGAGCATTTTTATACAGCCCAAGAGCATTTTTATACCAATGAACAAAGTTAAAAAGGACAAAATTCCTTTCAAAGGCACACACTACCAACACTCATAAAAATTGAAAAAGATAACTTGAATAGATCTAAATAGTTTTTGGTTAAATACCTTCCCTACCACTCACACTATATACACTTTAGAAAAAAAGCTCCAGGACTGAATGGCTTTACTGTTGAATTTTCCCAGCTATTTAACAAAAGAATAACTCCAGTGCTATTCTACCTTTCCCAGAAAGTAAGATTAACTGCTTCAAAACTCATTTTATGAGGCTACCATTATAATAAAAATCTGACAGACAAAAAAAATTGGGTTTATCTTAGTAATGCAAGGTAGCTTTAAATTTCAAAAGCAAGCAGTGTAGTTTATTACCAACAAACTATGACAGGAAAAACCACATCATTACAAGCAATGGAGAAAATTATAAAGATAGCACACTTTTTAATTTAATTTTTTTTTTTTACTTTTTGACATTTTTTTATTGGTGGTAACCAACCAATGCAATAAAGTATGAATAAAAGTCATGGATTAGAAAGAAATAAAAGTATCTTCATTTTTAGATGACAGGAGTCATCTAAAAAAGCTTCATAGTAAAACTATAATGAATTCTGCAAGATGTCAGTGTTCAGTCTTAATACACAAACTTAATTATATTTTTGTAGATAAAAAATGAATACCTGAAAATTATAATTTAAAAAATACCATGCAATCACATCAGAAGTACCTGAAGAGAAATTTAACAGAATATGCACATGATTTTGTATGCTAAGGATAACAAAAGATGACTGAGAAAAATTCGAGAACATTCTATAATTCCTGTTGTACCCATCTAACTTACTGCTTTTTTAAACATCTATCTATAAACTATCTACTTAATAATTTATTCTTATACTTTTAAATATCAGGGAAACCTCCACAAATTCATCTGAAATAATATATTCCAAAAGTTAAAAGACCTCTATTATGGAAAATTTGTCATACTTTTAATGGAAATCTATTTAAAGTTTAAGGCCGTTCCTTTTATTTAAAAATAAAAAAACCATGGGTTATTATACCACATTATAATAGTATCTCTCATAACTAGAATTGGATTCAGTATATTAGTAAAATCTGGCTAAAATTAAATCCAGTTCTAATGATTTTACTGTACAATTCTGTGTGTGGCTAAATGGATTTACTGAAGACAAAAGATCCACCCTGTGTGTGAGTGGCACAAGCCAATAGGCTTGTAGCATGGATAGAATAAAAAGGGGACTGAAGAAGGAAAGCTGATTTGTTTCTTCAAAAGAGCTCCACTCTTCATTTTTACCTTAGATGTCATCTCCTGGCTTCCAGCAAAGACCCTTCAGCCTTCCATTGAAAACCCTCCTGATAGGGACTTGTGGAGACACTACAGTGAGCTCCAGGCCTTCAACATTTGACTTCATCCTTTAGATCTCCAGTACACAGACAGCCCTTTTGTACTCTTCCACACCTGACTCTGTGGGCAGCTATTGTTTCGCTTTCCTTGTAAATCCTTTTATATTTATACATCTTACATTACATTTTTCTCTAGTGAGCACTGGCTGATGCAATGAACTGTTGACTGGAATCTGACAGTCCACATGGAACTGAATCCTGATGAATATAATGTGAGTGAGCTGGGGAACATATTTGATCCTTAAGATGACTTTGATCCTTAAGATGACTAAGCCTCGGCAGATATATAGTAAAAACTTAACCTTGTCAGAAAGGGCTCTAGCCTTTGCACTTGGCTCCTGTGAAGTCGAAGTTGTGATAAAAATATATGGTGAATGTTTAAATTTAAAAATGTATTATAATGAAAGGTACGTTGCCACTAATCCCCCTTGAAATATTCCTCTTTCCCTCAGACACATTAATCCCATAATTCTGGCCATTTTCTGAAGCAGTTCTGGCAGTTCTTTTTTTGTGATTGTCTTATAAGCTGTGATCAAAACTATGGTGAATGATGCTGCCAAGTGCCATCCAATAAAAGCCTCATAAAAACATGGTCTGTCCTCATCCACCTTCCTCTATAGATCTGACACAGGGCAATTTTTGGATCTTCCCTAAAGTCAAAATGACCATGAAAGATAATCATTCTTTGATTATCTGAATTGATATGTATATTCATATATTATATTAATTTAATTGAGTTTCTGTTGACCACAACAGTACAAATAAAGACTCATAGTAAAGACTCCCAGAACTGCTTTACATAGTGTTAAGAGTGATAGGATGCATAGTGGAAAGCAATAGGAAGTATATAGGGAGGATAAATGGCAATGTGTCTTTTACTGTGATAAATATTTTTTATTTAATCATTGATTGTATTTTTTCAATCACAGTAGTTGGAATGTTCTCTAAGGTGAGAGTATCTTTTTCTCCTGTTGCATAGGGCAATATTATTTTCTAATGATATAATTTGGGCTGAGAGTTCACAGTGGCTAGCAGATCAGCAAGGTCATTTAGGGTGGTCTTTTGGGTGTCAGTTAATCTGGAGTCTTGTTGTCGTTGGGAACACAAAGGATAGCCAGATAGCAGGAATGTAGTTTTGCCAAGGAATAGAGGGTTGAAGCTCTCACAGGCAAACAGCAGCCAACTCTCACCAACTTCGGTTTTTATTAGATACATGAATAATACTTCCATGAGAATAAACAGTTAGTTCCTTACAGATTATCTCTAGCAAAGCCATTAGAAAGTATTTTTTATGAACACCTGGTTCTAGTTATTCATATACTTTCTCAAAACACACTATTCCCAGAATGTTATCGAGTGGTTCTCAAGACTGTTTGCAACCTTGAGCTTCTGAGTTGTGGCTCTGTGTGCAGAACCACAACTGCAGTTCCTATTCCAATCTGTGTCCCAGTGTAACCTTCTCCTCTGCAGAAACTGAGATCAATTATATGGGTAAACATTCCATCCTATCTAAATAATGAAGCCCCACAAAATCTCTGAATACTGAGGCTAGACAAGCTTTTTTGTTTAGCAGGTTATATTGTGCATACTAACATACATTGAGATTAGGAGAGTAAAACAACCTTACTCCATTGACAAAAGACAACAGAAGTTCCACCAAATTTAAGTTTGGTATTTCCTCAGATTCTGTCCAGTATTTTGTTTCTTTTCCCCCCTAGGCTGACTCAAGTCTATACTTTCCTCATAATAAACTGTAATAGTGAATTTACTAGCTTTTAATGATTTCTGAGTTTATTTTTAGCAAATTATCAGACTACCCTTAGCAAACTAAGGGTATTTTTGAAAACTCTTAAAACCTGAGACCTGATAGGACCAATGATAATGAAGAAAAACAAAGCTGACCTTGCATAGAGTATCTAGTCACATTGATTCTCAGTTTAATCAAATGGCAATGAGCCCCTATCACATTTCAGTTTATATTTTTACTGACCAACCTATTCATGACCACTGTAATGTCACTTCCTATTGTAATACCTCCATATCCAGGAAAAATAAATTCTTCTTTCATTTTTGTAAATGTGTACCAATTATCTTTAACTTTCCATAGGGAAAAATGCTGAAGTGTATCTGTTTATCCCTTAATAGTGGTTTCCTGTAGGAGAAAGATAGAATGGTGGATTACTTTGTGCCCTGCTTCCAGCAACAACTTCTTGCATATTTTATTTAGTTGTCTGGTTCTCCCTTACACTACCCTTTTTTCAAATTATGTGTCCTTATCCATATTTTGAAGACTTTGGTAATTTCTTGCCTAGCTCAAGATCCTTTCTCTGAACTGACTTTTAAATTCCTTGCCTCTGGTTATCTTCCAGTATTTCACTTCTCTGGTCAAATATTATACTGAAGGCCTTCCATATTATGTAAATGGGAAATGTAACTTTTTATACATTATTTTGTATAGAATAATCATGTATGTATATCAATTTCCTCATTACACTATACATTTGAGATTTTTTTCGATTTTATGGCCTTGAGATCTAGGATAGTATCTGCATATAACAGGTTCTTTAAAATCTTTTTGATTAAGTGAATGGAGTATATACATTGTCAATGTATATACATGTCTATTTGGAAATATTTGAAAGATGTTATAATGGCAGTCTCATCCTTGGAGTTTTAGCTGAGACACCAACCTGAAAAAATAACTATAATATATATGCTCAATATTCTAATCAAGGTGGTAGACCAAAGGGAATAACCAAATTTATTTTTATCAGAAAATTCAGTAAGAATTCATCCACATTTTATATGAATTTAATTCATTCCATGACTCTGGAAAAGATGGCCACATTCGTGTTAATGCAGGAAAGATGGCCAAGGACTTGTCATCCAGTACAAAGTTCATAAAGAAAAACAGAATTCTGCCACAAGTTCCTGTTTGTGACCTTGTTTGCAAATAAAAGCATGAGTGAACCATATCTCATACATATATATATCTATATATCTATATATATTCTCACACACACATATATATCTATATCTATATCTCTATATATGTATAATTCTCTAAGGAAGCACTCCTAGTTCTCTAGAGTGAGGATTTCTTTAGAGTAAGCGTGAAAGACTGCAGTGTTTCCCTTCTAAGTGGGAACTCCAGAGAAACACTTAGAGTAACTGACATGTATCCTCTGGTATTTGCAGCATAAAGGAATTGGTTCATCTCTTAGTGTTGACAGATCTAAAGGCAAAAGGTTTGCATGAGTGGCTTGTGATGGTAGGATATGGAGAGAGTACTGTGGAAAGGGCAAACCATACTGTCACTGGTGTAGAGAGATCCTGAGGGAAGGAGTCTGAGGTGTGTTGGGAGAAAGTTTGTCCAAAAGGATTTCCTGTATGTATCAGATGTCGGGACAAAAAGAACAGGAGTGTTGTGGAAACCAGAGAGTCGAGACAGTCACTTGTAGCTGGCCAGCGGAGGTATAAATTAGATCAAATCCAATTTCCTTTCTTAAAATCCTGACTTGAAATTCTGCAATGGTCTCCTCTTTTGCTGAGAGTAAAATCTAAATTTCTTACTTCTGTGAGATGACCCCTTCCAGTGTCCACAATCTTATCCAGTAAGCAGTTGCCAAAATCTTTGCTATGCTTCTTTGGTTATTTTCACACACATCTGGTGTGAGCCAGGGACTTGTGTTAATTCATACACAGAAGGTTAATCTCTTATAGCTCTTTCCTCACCAGGGTTTCTCCACAGTCCTTGACTCCTAGGGATTTTTTTTTTTGTAGTTATACTGGGTAGATATATGGCCTTCTCTTAGGTGGTATTCTGAATTTCCACATAGTTCCAAATGATAAGACCCTTCTCCAGAAAAAGCAATGCAAAGGAAGAGAAAAATTTAAAAAGGCACATGCACCCGCGCACACACACACATATGCACACACAGACACACAATTTATACCTCAAAGGTAATTTTCCTACTTCTTCTTTTCCAAGATTTTAAGTGTCTCTGAGGTTTAGGTATTCACCCCACTTCCATTATTTAATGCAGCTTCCTGATTATGATAGCTATGAAGAAGGGCTGGGAAGGAGAAAAATATAGAAGATTCTCCCAACATTATCCACCTCAAAAAAACTCCCCTTTTCCTGATCCTCCAGCAAAACATCTGGGTTTTTGCAGTGCATGCTCATGATACAGTTTTCCAATTCATTTCACCCTTGGGCTAAAGATAGGAAGGAACTCATTGTATTAGCCAACTTTTTATTGCCATAATAAAATACCTGAAACAGTCTACTTAATAAGAGAGAAAAATATTTATTAGGTTAAAAATACAAGCTGAATAGCACAGGCTTTGTGCTCAGTGCTACTCTGACTGCATCATATCATGGCAGATGGCAATGGCAAGAGTGTGCACAGGAGCAAGCTGATGACATCTTGAGCCAATAATGTGAGAGAATGAGAGTCCAAGCTTATCCCTTTTAATAAGGATTTCTTGAAAATTCAAGGGTTAATGTAGAACTACTTCAAACCCCAATAATCTAATGATTTCCCACTTGGCACCACGTCTTCAAGGATTCCTAGCCTCCCAATACCACCTCCTTGGGGTCCAAACCTTTAATTGCAGTGACAATTGGAGGACACAGCTAAACCACTCCAAACCATAGCACTTGTCACCATAGCGTTCATCCTTTTAATTTTGACTTTTTTCTCCAACCTTTCTCACATTCTTTGTTTCACAATTCTCTTTAAGTTTTTGTGGGGTTTTTTGTTTTTTAGTTTTTAGCTGTAATGGTGGGAAGGATGGGATCTACTACATTTATTCCAATATGTCCAGTACTGGACCATACATGAATACAGCAAATGTAATGCTCATGTTAGATAAGAAGATGCAGAAGTCAGTCAAGAGGATAATAGCTGATGTTGTAGGAAGCACCATGTTGTAACTTGGCTTTTCATTTATTAATCAGAGATAGTGATAACTTATTGTTACTTTTAAGATATAAGTTGCATTTTAACCTGTGTGGCATGAGCCCATTTACGTATCAACAAAAGTTTTATGTATAAGGCAACACATGTATTGCACACTGAATACGTATTTGTTAAAACTAAAAAGATGAGAAAGAGAAAAAAAACCTTAAAAAACCGTGTGCTTATATTGTTGGAATATTTGAAATTATTAAACCAATTTAAAGTAAGAAGAATATTTCTGTCCCTAAAACTTTTACTCAATATCAGACTGCATGGATTTTAGATTTGTGATCTTAGCTACAGTAGAAAATCATTAGGTGTATGCTCTGCTAATCACAAAGAATCCCTTTAAACCTTGAACACGTACATTTCTCAGAAGTCTAAGTCCTTAGTAGCCATGTGAACAGTAAAAGACCCTGCCACCCTGGCTACCAGAAGATTTCTGCTCCTGAAGATTTGTAGGGGACTGAAAATGGCTAGCTTATACTGGCCCATGTATTTGCTTTGGGGTAATTCGCTTCAGGAACTGTGGGACAACAACCTTTATGTATAAAAGTAAATAGAAATAAACTGTAGAAAGAGGAGAAAAAAGTACATGAAAGTACTAGTGAAAGATTATGTAATGGAAGAAAGGAGGGAGAGTTAGACATGAGAATGAAAATAAGAAATAAACTAGGAGATGAATTGTTCCTAAAGTCTTTAAATTCTTCTAGTTGTATGACATTTTTTGGCCTATCCACATCATTACCTTTTTATTTGAGCATATAATCATGTATTATTTTAATGGTTATCCCATTTTTCTTAGATTATCTTAACTAAGGCATCGGATTGTTTTCCAAAATAGAAAATAAACACTACAGGAAAACTTTGACTTAGATAAGTAGGGTTTTTCTAATCATTTCAAAAAGAAAGAGATGGTTGAGATTGTACATATATGAGATAATTCAAAGAAGACATAATTTAGTATTCTAATACCTTGTCCAAATCTTATCTTGAGCATGGGATATAGCATGAAGCAAATACTAGAGTAAAATTGGGTGGGGGTGGAAACCTGTATATGATTAGGAAAAAAACAGCTTTCTAGGATATTTGGAATTAGCAGTCTATACAGAAAAAGTACAAATATTCATTCAAAACATTTTTTGGAAAGCTAGTGAATATTGTTGTAAATGCTAGAGATAGAATAGTGAGGATAGACCATAGAAACAAATATAGTACAAAACAGAAGTATTGAGATATTTTAAAAAACCAAGGATTAGATTGGGCAGGTATGCTATTTTACATAGGAAGGCCCTGAGATACCTTACAATTAGGGGATGTTTAAGCCAAAACCTGACATAAATGAGGGAGCAAGCCAAGCTGATATTTACAGAGCACATGTGGCAAGTAAAAGCAGGATTTACTGTGTGCAGTATGAAAGGACAGAGTGGTAAACGATAAGAAAAGGAGAAGACTAGATCCTAATGATCTCAAGGGCTTGGGCCTTTCCTTTGAGCACCATCTGAAAGCACTGGAGTGTTGTGAACAGTGGAGCAAATCAAGTTTTTTTATCAAATCACTGTGGCTACAATAGGGAAAATAGACTCTATGGTACAAGTCTGAAAGTGGAAAGGCTGATAAATATTTTCTTAAAATACTCTAGGTGAAAGAATTTGGTAATTTAGACTAAAATAGAAAAGATGAGATATGGTTGTGATGTATATGAAGGTGGTGCTGTTAGGATTTGCTGATGAGTCAATTGGGAGTTGTATGAGCGAGGAGTTAATTATTTTTACACTAGTAATGTTTAAGAAACAAATGGAGAAATGCCATTTACTGAGATAAGGAGTCAAAATATATATGTGGAGGTGGGGCACGGAAGCAGTAGCCTTATTTCTGTATACCTATCTGTAGCTAACAGTATGACACTTGGAAGATACCAGACACTGTTGTAAGACATGCTTTAAACCCATTAGCTCGCTTCAGCAACTATCCAAGATACATTAATAATACTGTTCCTATTTTGTACCATGGGAACATAACTAGATATAGTCCATATAATACAAGGCAAAGTTATGATTGGAATCTACAAAGCCTATCTCTAAAATCTGCATTTCTATCTATTTGTATTAGTTAGTTTTGTGTTAATACAATGAAATGATTAGACCCAGGTCGAATTTACGAGGAGAAGCAGTTCCCGTTTTTGAAGTATGGTGTCTTTACAAATTTTATGTGCTTCCACAAGGCAGGAAAAGAGCAGGTGCCTCTAGGGGTTCTGGGAAGTGGATGTGTGTGGATCACCCTTAGGAAACACCCAGGGCCTCCAAGGACCCAGCATTACTTGGGGATGCAGGAAATGGGTGATGAATCTGGTGGTGGGCTTGGGTGTCCTTCCCAGAGGACCTCGTTCTTGTCAGTCCTCTGCTATCCTTTCTTCTTCAGTTACCACTGTGTTTATGCCCTGCAGGCAGTCATTCCCAAAACTTTGGAATTACACTCTCCTGAGAATCTTTTGGAAAGTTTGCAAACTTGCAATAGAACTGATTTCTACACTGGAGGAAAAATATCCTCTTTAATAAATGGTGTTGGAAAAACTGGATTTTAACATGTCAAAGATTAAAACTAGATCCTTATCTTTCACCATGCACTAAACTAAAATCCAAGTGGATTAAAGATCTAAATATTAAAAAAGTCACAAAATTTGCTGGAAGATAAGTTAGGTAGAATTCTTGAAGACATTAGCATAGGAAAAGACTTTATGAACAAATCCTCTGAATGAGAACTAGCAGAAAGAATCAACAACTGGGATCTCATCTTATTAAAAAGCTCCTGCACTGCAAAAGAAACCATCAACAGAACTAAAACAACCTACAGTGTGGGAAAAAATTTTTACCAGCTGCTCCTCAGACAAAGGACTATTATCTAGAATATATATATAAAGAACTCAAAACAACCACCCCCCCAAATATAAAGACCAAATTCACAAATGGACATCTGAAATGAACAGACATTTCTCAGACAAAGAAGTAAAAGCATCAAGTAAATATATGAAAAAGTGTTCCACATCACTGGTCATTCAAGAGATGCGGATGAAAACAACACTGAGATTCCACCTCATCAGAAAAAGAATGCCTGCTATCAAGAAATCAACCAATGACAAATGTTGCAGGATAGTGGGGACAAAGGAACCCTTCTCCATTGTTGGTGGGAGTGCAGACTGGTGCACCACTATGGAAATCAATATGGAGAAACCTCAAAGAACTAGGATTATCAGTTCCGTTTGACCCAGCCATCCCTCTGCTGGGTATCTTTCCAAAAGAATTAAAAGAATCATACCACAGTAATATATGCACACCCATGTTTGTAGTGGCACAGTTTGTAATAGCTAAAACTTGGAAACAGCCCATTTGCCCATCAGTTGGAGACTGGTTAAAGAAGATGTTTTTTAGCCTGGCATGGTGGCACATGCCTGTAATCTCAGCATTCCGGAGGCTGAGGCAGGAGGATTGCTATACATTCAAGACCAACCTGGGCTATACAGTAAATTCCAGGGCAGTCTGAACTACATACTGAGACCCTGTCTCAAAAAACCAAAAAAAAAAAAAAAAAAAAAAAAAAAAAAAAAAAAAGAAGATGTGGTTTTTCTATAAAATGGAATACTATTCAGCCATAAAGAATGTGAAATTAGAGTCATTCATAGGAAAATGGATGCATATTGAGGATATACTCAAGCGAAATATATGTCATACATGTGTAAATACCAAATAGTTTCTCTGGTGTGAAAAACTACAATTGTACGTAAGATCCTAACGGTATAATTGACAAAGTGAAATAAGAAGAAAAGGGCTAAAGGTGTAGGGGAAGTGGGAAGGGTAGAGGAAAGGAAATGAGGGAAAATAAAAAACTATGAGACCATGAAAAAAATGGAAATAAAGTATTTATAAATAGGGAAGGGAAGAGGGGGTAAATAGTGCAGGGTTTAGAGGGAAAAAATGAAAACCAAGAACTGTTATGTAAAGGTACAAGATCCCAATGATGAATGTAACTGTACTGTATACCTAAAATGTACCAATAAACTCAATGAGGAAAAAAATGTCTAATTTGGTTACATCTATATTGATTATCTGGTGTCAAATGGTTGGAAACAATCCATATACAGGAAAAAAATTTAATAGAGTGCAGTATAAATTCTGAAGTATATACATTTCCTATATACATCGTCTTCAAGAAAGCTAGTAGATCTTAAGTTAAGATATATTTTTATTAAATATAAATCCAAGTCTTTCTGTGAAAAACTCTCCTGGGTGAAAATAATAGCTTTGCCATTATTTTGAGCAATCACTCATAACCACCTTAAATACCTACAGCTTCACAGTCCTCCTTTCAGATACCTACTTAGACATATGTTTAAAAAAAAGTGTTCAAAATAAAGAGCTATAACTGGCAAGAAATGGACAATACTTCATGCATTCCTAAAATGAATGATTTTGGTTATGTTGGCCATATTCTAGGAGGAGGTAGCACAAAAGCACTCTAAGGTGAGCACTATTCTAAAGAAATCCAAATATACATTCTGTTGCATTTTGTTTCAAAAGGGGACTCCCTCCCAGATACATTCAGTCTTTTTGAGTATCTTAACAAATGGCCTCAGATAATCAACCCATGGATCAATAACCCTACAACATGTACCTTGCCATGGAAAATACCAAGTTCTTGGAAATTTTGGGGGTATTAGTCTTCCTGCTGCACTTTGATTATTTTCATTCTTGTATCTATGCCCCAGACACTTATTACACAAATATTCTGTATAAGGATTTGTTCTATACAAGAATGTACTAGGAAATAGGCACTTTTCACAGAAAATGTCGAAGAAAAATAGGTTAACAAAAATACTTTTTCATATGCTTTTTGTTATATATACAAAAATATACAACAAATGTAAAATTTTTATAATAAAAGTTTATTTTTTAAATTTAAAAAAGCCAAGAAAAGGGTGTGGCGACAGCATGCATCATTTTAGAGTCCCTCTGATTATAAATATCCTCAGTGTGTTATTCAGCTTTGTGTTACTACCACGACCTGTTGGAGGCAGTTATATTTACAAGGAAAGAGGTTTATTTACTCATTCTTGGACACTGAAAGTCTAAATGCCTTGGTACAAGCTCTGGCAAGGACCTCGTAGATGGTGGAATGCATGCATGAGGGAGGGATCAAACATCAAATAGGAAGCAACATAACAATTCTCATACTTTCCTAACTCACGTTTTTTTCCCCATTAAGTTTATTGGTACATTTAAAGGAAACAGTACAATTACATTTATCACTGGAATCTTGTACCTTTACATGATATGTCTTGGTTCTTATTTTTGTCCCATACCCCTGTCCTTCCTTCATCCCCTTCACCCTCCCTATTTAAAAAGACTCTGTTTCCATTTCTTTCTTTTTTCACATTTTTTCTTTTCCCTTACTTCCTTTCCCCGTCCTTCCCACTTTCCTGTTAGCCATTTTATTCCTATTTCACACTATCAATTATGCCATTTGAACCTTATTTACAATTTTAGTTTTTCACACAGGAGAAACTATTTGGTATTTACTCAAGTGTGTCCTATTTATTTCACATAAGAGTACCACCTCAAAGTTCATCCATATACTATAAATGTTTCCAGTTTCTCATTCTTTATGGCTGAGTACTACTCCATTTTATAGAAAAAACACATCTTCTTTATCCAGTCTCCAGTTGATGGGCATTTGGGTTGTTTCCAAGTTTTAGCTATTACAAACTGTGCCACTGTAAACATGCATGTGCATATATCACTGTGGTATGATTGTTTTTTTTTTTTTTTTGGTTTTTTGAAACAGGGTCTCCTTATGTAGTTGAGATTGACCTGGAACTCACTATGTAGCCCAGGCTGGTCTCGAACTCACAGTGATCCTCCTGCCTCAGCCTCCCAAGTGCTGGGATTAGAGGTGTGTGCCACCATGCCCGGTGGTATGATTCTTTTAATTCTTTTGGAAAGATACCCAGCAGAGGGATAGGCAGGTAAAATGGAACCTCCTAGTTTTTTGAGATATCTCCATATTGATTTCCACGGTGGTAGCACCAGTCTGCACTCCCACCAACAATGGAATAGGGTTCCTTTCTCCCTACAGCCCTACCAGCATTGATTATGGTTGATTTCTTGATAGCAGCCATTCTTTCTGGGGTCCTAACTCACTTTTGAGAGTGCTTAGTCCCCAAGACCAATGTTCCTTCCAAGCCCAGTGCCCTCCATGACCTGAGGACCCCCTACTAGGTCACGTCTCTTAAATGTTCCATCAGTTCCCACCTCATCATCCTGGGCATTAACCTCTTAACACATGAACTGGCATAGGTGAGACCCACACTACTATATTCAAGCATAGCATTCGGCCCCTGACACCTCAAGGTTCATATCCTTATTGTCTAAGTGGATGCTTTCAGCAGGAAATTGGAACCAGTCTTCAATACAGGGCAGAAGTCAGATCTAAATAGAGGTATACTTTTGGGATTATAACCACTGATGGTACTTGAAGTGATGATTGATACTTGTTGAGATCATATAGGAAGGGTATATTTGGGAAAGGGTTAAGCCTAACCAGGAGCCACCTGGTGAGCCAACACAATGGAGCCACCTGATTTTGGGCTTTCAGCCTCCAGGCTATGAGCTCAATAAATTTCATTTTTTAAAAGTTGTCTAACCTCAGGCATTTTGTTATAGCAACAGAATATACAATCCTACATCCTTTTTTCACTTTTGCCCTGTCCTGATTCATGGGGCAGTTGTCTACATGGCCCTACTACCAGGTAACTCTCTCAGTTTCAATGTACTGACAGCTTTTCCAAATACCCAGTCTAGGTATGGCATCTGTTTTATTATCAGAACACTCTACACTTTTCTTTAAAATGCTTAATACTGTTTTTAATCACATATATTTATTTTTATGATTATTTTAGTATTTTCACTACTATGGTGTGCTAAGAAAATAAGATATAGAATAAGACTTAAAATACAAATTCTGGTCATTTATACTTCTTGGGTGAACTGGGGCAAGTTATTTAATTACTCTGAGACAGTTTCATCTGTAAAGTTACAGTTAAAGTAATATTTGCCTTATATAATTTTTTATCACATGAAGGATCTAAAGACTGGTATCTATCACTTATGCCTTGAAATGTTCATGCTGCATATTAAGGCATCTATTTCTATACATACTGATAAAGTAGAAAATGCATATTTAAAATATATGTCCAAAATAAATTAGAGCTAATCTGTTATTTTGCACTTACTTTTCCCTCCATCTACTCTGACCTAGATGTATTGTTATACATTAGTCACATTTCTTTTTAAAATTTTCATTATACCTCACCACACACCCCATTATCTTATTGAATTTACCAATTAGTCAATTTTAAATAGAAGTGATCTAAAATATTAAAAATCCCAGCATTATTTTCTTTCTACTATTAAGAAGTCCTATTGTCATTTTTCGAATTGTTTAGTGAGTAAAAGGTACTGAATATGCCTTCCACTTGCCTATTACTCTATGACAAATC